TATTAAATCAAATATAAACATAGGCCATATTAATTACTAAATTGCTTGATTACAATACTTTAACACTAACTTAACAACTTTCTCCCTTTTTCTTTGATTTTTAACAAAATGATTCCTCCTTTAGAATCAATCATCTCATGACTCAATCCTACATAATTTTTCATGAGGAATCCAAATATGCAATCATATTTTTGAAATTCAAACTCCTTCCCCATGAACCTGGTTTGGCTGATAGGGGGTATATGTTTCCAAAAATTCCATTTTTTATTCCAACGATTTTAAACACTTCCCAACAACATGCCCCTACACAAAAACATATTTTAAAGCCATTGGAATCATCAAATCAAGCCAAAACAATCAGCTCCTACACGAACAGTGCTGGCTGAAATTCTCCCCTTAAACCCTAACCTTGATTTCATCCAAAAATCAATCCATACATCACTTAATCTTGCTTATTCTACTTGATTATTAAGGTTTCTATCCTTTCCTAAGCATCGCACATCCCAATCGAATTTTAGCAGAATTTCCAGGATTTTTCCAAGCCACAATCTTTATCCAATCAATTTAAAACTTAGGGATAATGATGCTTAGACATACCTTAATATTTTCTTGAAGTAAGTTGGATGACTCCTTGCCTAAAACAACTTAAAATTTTTGAACAGGGGTGCTCGATGAATAGTGGCAGAGTTTCCTCTTATTTTTCTAATTTTCCAACATTTATTTGTATTTTCCAAGGGGATATTTATAGAAAAATGTGTTCTGCCCTCTCTCCCTTGATTTGGCCGAATTAAGGGACACCTCAAGCATGTAGGTGGCAGCCATCAAGTGTGGGAATGATCAGATTTGCACAAGTGTGCATTTGCTAGATATTTCCAAGCATTTTCCAATGAATTTTCACTTTTTATTTAATAAAAATAATGGAATATGGAAAGTGCATGAAATTGGGTCTTTAATGGGTCTATTTTGGGTCCCACAAATGGTTTGGACTGGCCCATAAACCAAAACACTATTTCAAACCATTCCGAACTTTTTCGGTTATTATTCACCGTAATAATCTGAAATTTTTCTAGGATTCTAAAAATCCATTTATTTCCATGATAATTCAAATTTTAATATAAGAATATGATATGGAAATTTTCAGAATTTTTTGCCAACTTTAGGTATTTATTTTGAATTTTCTCTGATTCGTCCTTTATCGGTGATTCTGAGGGACAATAAATTCCCAGAAATAAATTCTTAGACTTCCAGGGCGTAAAAATAATTTTATAAATTCTTTCCCATATTTAGAGAATTTATCCATATTTTTTCCAAATTTATTGAGGCCTCCAGCTATTTTAAATAATTATTTTTGCCCAATTCTCCACTGTTTTTTCAAAAATCCTCCGTTCTTAGAAAATTCCAAAATAGTCTATTTTCCATTATTTTCACCTCTCGGGCCTTAATTTGAAGTTCAAAAACCTCTAATTCATTTTTTTTACTATTTTGCAAAAAAAATTTGGAATTTTTCTCTGACTTTCTAGTTTTGCCCTTTCTAGACCGCTAATTATAGAAAGGTTAGCCCGAACCTTATCAGAGTTTTATGTCAAAAGTAGTTTCATCTTTCCGTCTAGTTTCTACATTGGCCCTCATCCCAATTTTGTTTTCCTATGTCCAGGTGAAATTTCTTGGGATGTGACAACTTGTTATTGTTGATGCTTTATATTCTTTTAAGTCTTAAAGAAATTCATTAAGTTTTGAAAATATCCACAAAAATGAGTATCACATAAAGACTATAAATGAGAACAATACTGAATATCTACTAAAACACTAACAACTAAAACATCTGAGAAGTTAGTTTATGGTATTATAATGCGCAGATTCAAGGACATAAAGTGATATTATCATTAGAGGGATGAGCAAGATGTATTCGGTATATTCTTTTCATTTTCAAGGTTTTATCCCACTGGATTTTCCTGAAAAGATTTTTAATGTGACAACTTGAATAAGCATTTGGATATTGTGTATTCTTCTCCTTCACTAAGTTTTTGTCCAAATATGTTTTTTCTATTAAGGTTTTAATGATGGACAATATTTGTTATGAACAATCAAGGAGGGGTATTACAAATATTGCAAATATGGATATCCATAACTCTTCCCCTTATTCTTTAACTTTGAATGTCCTAAACTTATAATTTTCCCTATAAATGACTCGAAAAGAGTTTTTAATGATTAACACCATTACATTTCTCTTTATTTTTTTTGTAATATTGGAACTAAATTTTAATAGTTGGAAGCCTTTAAATAAAGGCTATATATGAGGTATTCGTACGCAACTGAATGAGAAGTTCTCCTTTAATTTTTCTCCCAATTTCTTGTCTTGCACTCTTGCTATTCTCTGTTCTACCCTCTAATTTTTTTCTTTTTATAACAATTAAATTTAGTATACAACTTGGGATATAGATCCCCTCCCGTGCATTTTGTGTTGTGCGTTAATCGAAGCTATTGGATTCATCTAATGGCTTATATTACTTGTAATTGCAAATTTGCAATGTTCTCATTTTTATTAAAACGGCTTGTAATGCGAATTCAGGTTTTTCACTCACACTCACATAGTAGCATCGCCGCTCCTGCTCGACTCCGCATTCTCTCTTGCTCGGCTCTCTCAATCTTTGGACCCGCCATTGTTGTTAATGATGGAAATAGGCCAGACAGCTTGTCATGAGCCTTTAGATTGGCCTGTTTTTGGTCTAGTCAGGCTAAACCTGGTAAAATATAGGCACAGGTTTAGGCCTCTTTGAGGACCTGTTTTGCTTAACAAGCGAGGTTTAGGTTTTATGAAAAGCCTATAAAGCCTGTTTGGCGGCCTGGGCTTATTATGCATTTGTAACATTTTGTATTTATGTTCAATTATCTTAAAAATGAGTCTTAAACTCAAGATCTATAATTGAGAAGGTTGTAATCTTACCACTACACCAATGCGTTTTTTGTTATTCATCATGCACGATTTATAATTTTAAACCCAATTAGTTAAGTTTGCAAAATATATATATATTTACTCTACCCTTGCTTCCTTGCAGTGTGTTTGGTACGAAGGATTTGGAGGAGAGGAGAAGGAGGAGGAGTGATTTTAATTATTTTTCCTTATTTGGCAAGATAAAAATTTTAGGAGGGGAGAGAAAATTTTTTAACATTTTCCCCTCCCCTCCCCTCCAAAATTGGGAAAATTTGGGGGGGGGGAATATTTTGGCTTGTGTTAACTAATTTCTCATATTTTTTTTCTAATAATCCTATGTTACCCTTCACTGCAAATTGCATGTGATTTGGGATATTTGTGGATTCAATCATGCCTCTCTTCCCTCATTTATATGCTATCAAATATATATATAAATTGCTATCAAATATATTTTAATTTCCAAACGCAAATCAAGCATTTAAAACAAAAACATATAAATAAGTCATCTATTTCTTTTTTAAAAAATTTATTTGACTACCTGTATCAACAACATGGAGAAAAATGAAAGCTAAAAAAAACTCAAATTAAATATATTTAATTTATTAGACCAAATTTTGGATAAAATACAATTATAGTTATTAGATATATAGTAACTATTAATTATGTATTATCATTACATTTATTTAATTTGGCTAATCATGAAAAGTTGATCTCATATATTAAATGTTATTTATAATTATATTTTATTAATTACTTTATAAAGTTTGTAAAAATCAACTTAAATAATATAAGGGTAAAGTTGTTCATATAAAAATATTTTGTCTACTCTCCCTTCCTAAACCAATAAGGTAATATTAAAATTCCTTCTCTTCCCTCCTTTCGTATTAAGGGTTTGTTTGGCTTAATGAGAAGAAAGAGAGGAGAGGGATTTTAATAGAGGGAAGGAGAGTAGAATGATTTTAATATTATCTTATTTAGATTTATAAAAAAGAAGGGAAAGGAAGGAGTTTTAATATTACTTTGTTTGGTTTATGAGAGGAGGGGAGGAAAAAATATTTTAACATAGACAATTTTATCCTTATTTTATTTAAGATTATTTTTTCAAATTTTATAGAATGTTTAATAAAATAGAATTATAAATAATATTTAATATATTAACCAATACTTATACCAAAATTCTAATATACTCTAGAGCATGAAGTATTATTGAAAAGAAGGTTAAACTAATATTCAGCCACAACTTGTACTGTATCTCATGTTTAAATGAAATATTTAGTCAAACAAATAAGCTCATTAGATGTGAGACCTCGTTTTCATCTATTTTTATCTTTATGGCTACAAAGCTTTGAGGATTTAAATTTTGACATATAAAATTATACATGTCAAAATTTAAATCCTCAAAACTTTGTTTATTGAATTGTCCATTTTATCTTTTCTAATTTCATATTTACATACAAAGGAAAGAGTAGTACCTGGAGACAAGAAGAAAAACATTTAGGGTAATATAGGGATATTAAAAATAAATATGGGCATATAGTCACAACATGACAAAATATTACCCTTTTTCTCCAAATTCTCCTAATTTTGGAAGGGAGGTTGAGGAGAGGAGGGGAAGGAAAATTTTTTAAAATTTTTCCTCCCCTCCTAAAATCTGTGTTACCAAATAAGAATAAATGATTAAAATCTTTTCCCCTCCCGCTTCTTCCTTCCAAATCCCTCATCCCAAATAAAGATAATACTCCTCCGGTTCTTAATATAAGACCCATTTAACTAATTTGATTAGATTAAGGAAGTTAGGTAAGTTAGTTAATTATAAGAAATATGACACTTTTGTCCAAATACCATAATCATCTTTCTTAATACCTACTCTTCCTCTCCGACTTGATTATGGTTGAGAGAGTATTTATAGGGGTAATTTAAAGAAAATTGATAAATATGAGAAATGAGTCTTATATTTAAGACCAATACCAACTCAATAATTGGATCATATATTAAGGACCGGAGGAGTATTAAAATTTCTCTTATTTTTTTCATCTCTTTTTTCTCTATTAAAATCTCTCTCCTTCCATCCCGCGTGAGCCAAATCAGTTTTTTGTCTATCTTTTAACTCCTTAGTTCACTCTAGCCGCCGCTCGAGGTCTCCATCTCCAGTCTCGACTTTGTTCTCCATTCTCTAAGTCTCACCAGTGTCGTTCACGATCTCCTGTTCCGACCTCACACGGTCGGACCTCACAAGCCACAGCATTGCTGTCGTTCACTCTGCAGTTCCGAGCTCCCAGGTCGGCCGTTCGCTCACTATCCCAATCTCCAGATCTAATCTCTCCTCTTCAGTCCTCATTTAGCTCGTGTGTCGTCAATAGGTATGCTTTTTGTTACAAACTAGAACACTACTTTCTCTCGTCCATCGTATTCAAATAACAAAAGCGGTCGACTGTTGATATGATTTCATTATTCATGGCAGAAATCTGAAGTCTGAATATGATTGTATATATTCATGGAAGAAATCGCTGAAATCAGAAGTCACCGCCATGAATACACACACACACAAGGTCCCATGTTTATATTCCCATATATATATATCTATATATATTCATGACAGAAATCTGAAGTCACCGCCATGAATATATATAATATATATGGAGAGTAATAGATTTTATCAAAATTTTAATCATACAGTGCTTTGCTTATGTTTTATAATTTTTCATTGTTCTTCTTCTTGTTCTCATAGGCGTGCCTTGTTTATAGATTCTACAATAGCCTGTATTGTGCCAATGGATCAAGATTTTATCAGAATTTTTCTACAGCAAACTAGGAATTTTAGTGTTGTGGATATTTTTGTTAACTTTTGATTTATCAGGTTTCTTACTCATTTTCCTAGAGAGTGGAAGCATGTTTTTAGTCATTCAACTGATATATGCTAAATTGCTAATACATGCTTGATGATTCATTTCTAGTTTATGATTCATTGCCAATATATTATACATTTCATTTCTTCTTTTCAAGGTGTTCAAACAAGAAGAAATTATGTTGAAAATTTGATGATCTGTGACAGACGGCTATACTTTTATTTGGTCAAAATTATTGTACTTGTAATGAAACTTGTTCCCATTTTGCATTTGGTATTATCTTGTTGATTAATTAGATTATATTAGATTTTGTGTTGTATTTTAGATAATTTTGGACTGGTTATTATAATTTTGAATTTATTTTTGCATATATGGCCTGTTTTTGGCCTGTTTAAAGGCTTAGGTCTTTTTTTTTTTTGTAAAAGCCTATTTTCAGCCTAGCCCTGTTAGCATGTTTATAGTTTTTGAGAAAAATGTAGGCCTTTTAATAGGCTTTAGACCAAGCCAGGCCTTTATACAGGCCAGGCTTAGGCTGAAAATAAAGCCTTTAACAAGCCATAGGCCAGGTTCAAGCTGGTTTGTTACAAGATAGGCCTAGCCTGTCAAGGGGAAAGCCTCGCCTGTTTCCACCCCTAGTACTCACCGTCTCTCCAGCCAGCATCCTTTGGGAAAGCTTTTCTTTCTTCTTCCAACAAATCGCAATCTGCGAAAGCTGATTCTTTTGTCCAACCTGAAGATATCCTGCTTATGGTTTGCCGTTCTTGTTACCTTGCAACTCTGAATCCCAAACTTTCTGCTATGGATTTGTCATAAGCTTGATTCTGTGTTTGCATTTTTGGGTTTTGAATTAAATTCTACTATAGTTGCTGTATTTACAGTTGCCAACAATTCTCTTACTGGCTTAATGCTTAGTTGTCGTATATTCCATATATCTACATGGACAAGAGTGAACACCATTTTTGATAATGATTGAAAAATGGTGGAAGGAAAGATGGAAGAAGGGCGGAGTAGTTCTTGCAGCATTATTTCTTAAAAACCAAAAATGGTTTTAGATACTATCTGCTAAAATGAATCCTTTTTACTCTTGTTGAGTATTTAACTTCAATTCGTTTGGCACATAGGCTGTAGAATTTGACGTGTAATTAGTTTCATTTATTGTGATTTTTCCCTTTGGTAATTGTCTTAGATATTGGCTAGATAATTTGTTGTATAGATTTTGGAAGTTATCTTGCGTGTTTGAAGAGTTTCTTGAATCATGTAATCCAGTTTCCAAGCATGATGTTGACCTCCTGTTGTGCTGGCTTTGATGTACTCTATCGTGGTGTTGACGGCATTTATTTGTCCATTGCTTCATGTACACATTTGTTGCCATTCTGGTCCCCCTTCCACTTTCTTAGCATAGCAGACCTCCATTCCGACCTTAGTGTGTTTAGTTCTCAGTTTGCCTTAATTACATTTACCAAGCTGACTTTCAAAACGTTAAAAGCAACTCCTACTTGCATTTTTCAAACTGACTTTTTCTTGACCATTAAGATTTGTGGATGAGCTTTCAGAAAAATAGTTTTCCTACCCAAACATCAGTTTAATGGAAGTTAGATTATCAAAATGGACTTGTGGAGCCCTGAAAGTTGTATCCAAATACCCCCTTAATATTATGTGGTAACAAGAAACCTCCCCTTTTTTTTTTTGGTCTGCAGTTCAAATAAAAGTTATCAGAAATTCTGAAGAGGCGGCTTGTATCTTTCGTTTAGTTCATTTGATGGAAAATAAACCATCTACTTTATCTACTAGCTTGATAGACCAATCAGTGGTGAGTGCTTGATCTCTTGTGTAACTAAAAACAATTCAATGGATTTTTTTTTTTTTTTTACTGTTATCTATATTTCCCTTTAATTGTTTTATAGGTTCCTGGAGATGTAGTTCTTGATCTCTCTAGCATGTCAAACCAAACAGTTAAGCTTGGAGGTGGTCTATACCAGGCAAGTCTTTGGTTTTCTAATACTTAATGCAATTATGATGATGATAAGTGTGCTTTGGTCATCATATTTTAAACGTGCATGGGCATGTGCTTCATGGTAATGTAGACATTACATAGGCACGCACGCACGCACATAACCAGCAGATATGCTGAAATAAGCTGCATGTTCTGTTCCACGAAGAATCTTCATTGACTAGCCAGCGATAAATTGATGTTTGATTTTTATTTTCTTTTCCTTCTTGTATTTATTGTTAAGATTAAAGTTTGAAGTTTCTAGTCTTGGAGATAACTTTTTTGTTATTTCCTCTGTCATCATTGTAATAAAGCGTGATAGTTTATTTATTTATTTACTTTTGGGTTCATAAGTCTTCAGGGAAGGTTTCAAGGTCGTCTTGTATCAAATGTCCAATATTATAAGTTTTTACATTGTTCCTTTATTCTGGACTTTATATTCGTCAATGTTACTATTGTTTACACATTCATAGTTCTTTGTTATGTCCTGGTTTTTTTTCCCTTTCTTTTCTTTTTCTTTTTTTCCTGCTATTGACTAGAGCAAGGGGACCTAGACAAACATGTTAAAAATTGTTAAAATGTTTTTTCTTCTTTTATTTACAGATAGAGAGATTGAATGCTTTATTTACTAGTGCTAGATTTTCATGCCACCAAAACTAATGATTATTATATCTGATGATTTCAATTCATCATACCTCTCAATATGAACCTATATGTTTTGTCCTTATCTTCCCATATGCTAATTTCCAAATTCAGCATCCCATAAAACATGAACAGTAAGGAAATAATCTATGATTCTTCTCTATTTTCCTCATTTTGTTCATTTCTTGGTGTAACTGATTCTTACCGGTATCTATTTGCTAGGACTGTGATGCAATTTCAGTAATGAAGGCTGGCAGGCTAAGATTCTCAAAGCCCAACAAATATTGGGTTGAAAGTTCTCAGAAAAGGGTATGTTATTGTAGTTGTATCTATGTATTTAATTCAATTTAATGTCTGAAATGTGAAGGCATGTTTTCTGACTTGCATTGGTGGTGCTAGATAGACTCAACTCCATTGTGACTTTGTACGACATTATTTTGTTTATTGCCCCAAAGCTATTAACTTGTGCCAAAATGTCCGGTGTATTTTGCTTTGATATGGAATTTGTTGTAACACATCAGAAAAGGACTTACTTAAAGGAATACTTTCAACATTTCAACTTAATTGGGAACTTAGATGATTTTATAAGTGTCAAAGGTTAGGAAGTCAAAATCTGAATTATCACAAGAAGCTACAATTCAGGTTAAAGGCTTATTTATGTATCTGTGTACGTATAGCATGCATGACTATTATATATATATATATATATGTCTATATCAACATATGGGTGCTAAACTTTTACATCCATGGTAGTAATAGCTTGCATTCTGCCAGAAGCTTTACTCCTATTCTGAATTTCAGGTTGATCATTCCCATACAAGGTTATATTATGTATTATAAACCCTTTCTTTTGCATGTAAATGGCATTTGACTCTTTCTTTCCCTTCCTGGGGAAAAGTTCTTTATTCTTTTCAATGTTCTGATTTATGATCATGCTTTGTTGAACAGTATGTGCCCCATGTAGAAGATTCTGTTCTTGGAATTGTTGTAGACATCAGATCAGATGTAAGGAGTTTCTCTTCTTTCTTTTTTCCTTTCATAATTTTTTTGTGACTCAAATTTTAGTTTTTCTTTGTGATCGCAAATTTTAAGCATGGAGTCTCCAAGTTTTGCCAAAAGAAAGTCCTTTAGAATGAATGCATCATGATTTACTAAAGACTAAACCATCACATGGTTTCTTGAAGGATACCACCACCATCAAGACAGTGCTTCAAATGTTGCCATTTATTTAATCTTGGCCGTGGAAAACTGAGTTAGCCGTGGAAAACTGAGTTAAGTTCATGACTACAATGATGCATTCTTCAAAACATTAGGACTATATGATAGGAAAACTAACTCACGTTAGTGTGGGTGGTAGGGGTTTTCTTCCCTTAAGCAAGCAGTTGAGGGTTTGATTCCCAATCTTTGTGTATGGAGCAAACTTAGTTGAAAGGTTATTTGTATTTGCTACCAGTGGAGGATATTTCTGGTGCTTTACCCAAAAAAGATGATGATTGGGATGTTTCCAGTGACTAGCAGTACTTATTCTTTATTTAATTTTAAGTTGACTTGATTAAAGAAGTCTTGTAATTGACCGTGAAAATCTGATTCCTTTAAGAAATAGGAACACAACAAAATTCTTGGTTCCATTCATAACTGAGCTGATCCTGGGAGAACTAACATTTAGTTGAAAATGAGTGTAAAGTATAATACCAGGCAATCTTTCAGAGTTGTGGTTCAGTGGCATTTTTTGGACGAAGCTTCTTTTTCCTGTTGAAGATCATAATTTCTCCTCCTTGGCTTGAATTTTCTCAATCTCTTGTCACATAAAATTGACTTATTCTGCGTCATATTAGATATGACTCAATTCTCAGTCATCTTTCACATTCTTCTATATACATGAAATTTGACCTCGTTCCACAAAATCTCAACTTCAAAGGTTTATTATTTTTAATAAAATAATGATCAAGTGATTATTTTGCAGAATTTTCTTGTGGACATAAAAGGACCTGCTATAGCATATTTGCCTGTGCTTGCATTTGAAGGAGGAACTAGAAGAAATATACCTAAATTTGAGGTGTGTAGAGAGTGATTGTATGTTATGCTCAAATATAACTTAGAGTTCTTTCTTGTTGCATTGTGTGGACCTATATGCTTGGTTGGTGTCTAAATCAATTGATCTACTTTTCTGGTAGGGAGCTATGTGTTAACTGTCATATGTAACTATATGCTTGGTGGGTAAATTAATTTATCAGCCAAAACTCTTTGATTGTGCTGGTTTAGAAGAATGAATTAACTGATTATTTTTGTCAAAAAAATTGTACCTTAGGATGCGATCAAGAATATATGTGAGAATCTTTCTCAACAAGAAATGATATTACCATTGGCTATTCGCTTTGGATTTTCTTTATCAAAAAGTTAGTTTTGGATTTTTTTTTTTAATTTATTGTATAGAGGTTACAACTGAATAATTTTCTTCTAAAAATGTATTGTGTGTTTACGAAAGAGGGAAAATTATAAAAGAATGAATAATATGTTTCTTGCTTCTTTGTTTCTTTTCTTAAATTTAGATGGCAAACCAACCCTTCATTTGGCAATTTTGGTCATTTATCATCCAAGCTTTTGTTGGTTAGTCCATTGTGTTTCTGCAGCCTTTGTGCTTTCTTGCAGGTGGGTACTCTGCTTTATGTGCGGGTTGTGAAAGCTAACCCTGGAATAAATCCTGAACTGTCTTGCACGGATGGTAGCTATCCAGTTCCTTGCATTCTTATTTCTCACATGCTTTTTGATTTATACCTAGTCATGAAGTTGTGTCTTTTTGGGGGCTAATTTTCATTATATTTTATTTTTATGGACTTAATTCTTTCAATTTTGTTGTTCTTTTGCTGCGTGTAGCCAGTGGGAAAGCAGGAGAATATGGTGTGTTGAAGGATGGCTATATGTTTGAATGCACAACTGGTCTATCAAGGATGTAAGAGTTTTCATTTTAGTTTGTCATTCGTGCTCAGTGTTAACAGGTACTGACGTCCTCTGTTGTTTATAGGCTGCTCAGCTCGCCCACGTGTCCAGTCCTTGATTCTTTAGGGAAGAAATTGTCATTTGAGATAGCAGTTGGCTTAAATGGTCGCGTTTGGGTATGCATTATCACATTCTATTCACTGTTTCGTATGTTGCCCTTTGCTTGTCCCTTTATGCTATATATGATGATCATTGCTTGGGCTGGATTTGGGAACTCTCGTTCATCATGCGTTCAACACTAGTTTAACATGTGACTAGAACAACCCCCCTTGCTATGCTGAGGAATTTGAAGGTTTCTTCTTCCTTTTTTTCCTTAATCGACCGAAGGGAAAAGAAAAAAAAAACAAGAGGTTAGCAGAAAGATAATGACCGGACAAAAAATTGCAAATTTCAATGTATACAAGAAAACAATAGTGCGGTAAATTCAACTTTCATGATATATATTCACTATTCTTGAAAATGGGCTCAAGTGATATCTGCTAATTGCATATTTTTGTTCTTTTATAATCGTGCTTAGGTTAATGCAGAATCTCCATCGACAACCATTATTGTCGCTAATGCAATTATGAACTCAGAGTCATTGAGTGGGGTCCAGCAGAGAATAATGGCTGACAAGCTGCTTCAGAGAATCCAGTGATCAAGTTGTCTTACTTGTAAGTACTTAACTTTGATCGGGCAATTTCAGTTTATAATCCTTTTAAACGAGGTTCTGAGGTGAACATAGTTTACAATTGATAGACGAAATCAAAAGGCAAGTGAGCTTGTGAAAGGTGAGTTTTATGAAGAAGTGGAGAAATTATTTCTATATTCCTGGAATTCCATGCCATTTAAATTCGTTTAATTAAAAAAACAGTCCAAGTCAAATAATTTAGCAGAGAGGAGCGATTTAATGAAGAGAAAGAAATATAGATGCTTATAATATTGAAACTTTTAAAGAGGGCTATTAGATGCGTTGGCGAGAAAAGAAAATCAAGCAGTATGGAACCTTTTAGAACGAGGTGGAGAAAGATAAAAAAGAACGCTCCATAGAGTTACTGAGCGAGACATTTTTGTTAATAATTTATCCAAAGGTTTAGTTGTCGATAAGGCTTCTTGTTACATATAGCCAATCACATCTAATGAGATAAGGCTTCTTGTTGCCATCCTTCAGTATATTTGCATGTTTCTTTCGGATTGGTTTGATATGCTTATCTTCTATAAATTGGATTCATATGAAAATTTCATATTTGATTCATTTGAGAATTTCTCTTTAGATTTCTTGAAATTAACCTTGCACTGTGACAGAATGAACATGCTTTACAAGCACTGGCCAAGTGTACGAAGGATTTTCACCCACCTTACTCTAGAGCGCTAAGTTACAGAAAGTTAATCGCAAAGTCATGATGTTAAATGTAATTTTCAATTTTAGGACCTAGGTTTGTTGGTATATTTACTGTCTCCCAGAATATCTGGTGCAAAGTTTGGTCCTGTATCAAATGCTAGTAGTATTGGTAAAATCATTGTAGGTCCATTCTTTTTTTGTTATTTGACCTTCAAATGATAGTTTTCTTGTTATGAACTCTTTCCAGCCTGCTTTTATCGACATTCTCACTTGCGGGATATGTGAATTAGCTGACATGATTGCGTATGTTATCGCTGCGAGCATATTTAATTCACACTCATAAAAGCCATCTTGATTATAATTATACTTTTTTTTTTTCCCAATTTTCAATTTTGGTACTTACGTTTTTTTTTTTCCCCAAATATTTTAATTTTTGGTCGGTTAGCATAAGAACACCTTGTAGTTAATAACAGTGCTAACATAGTAAAGTCAATTAATAAAGGAAAATTTAAATATTTAATTAAGAGAGAAAACGCTGGTGTTAAATTAATTGTTAAAGGAAAGCACAAATACTTGTAAAATTGTTTTCCCTTCTTATTCTCTATGTAAAAACTGAGCTAACAGATGATTTTTGGTTTTATGTATAATATTTTAATTCACGTTTCCTGGATTTTTTTTTAATTCTTTATATTGATTGTGAATATTGAGGAGTTTTTATCAAGGCATTAATGTTTAATGTAAACAAGTAAACTGTAAAAGGGTATTTTAATATATTAGGTATTAACACATATTTTTCTTATGAATAATGAATTTAATTTGTTTTCTTAATTTTTATAAATTAGCTTTCAAACTCTTATATTTAAAATAAAGTAATGAAAAGATATTATCTAGTTGGATGTTTAGCGAGGATCATATTATTGGTTAAATAGTAGGATAAAATAGCATCTAATGTCCTAATCTGGATATATTTAACACTTTATTACTATTTATAGTATATCTAGTATCCTGATATTATTATTATTATTTTTTATGATAGATGCACTATGAATAAAATTACAGTCTTGGATATATTATAATTTTATAAATAAGATTAAGATGTTAGATATAATTATGAAATAAGATTAATGTGCTGAATGTTATTTTTTTAATTTATTATAACAAAACTTATGTTTATACATATATAAATAAGAAATCATTATGTCAAACAAAAAAGTATTTTGATAATATAAATTAAAAGTGTTTTCCTATGCAAAGATTAATAGGCATGGGTTTCACTTTTTTTAAATAAAAGAGCATGAGTCTAACTACATAGTACATGACTAAGCTACAAATGAGATATGCTACTTTTGGTTCACAATATAATTTTTTTTTGAAAAATGATTTGATTTAAATAAGAGTCACTTAAAAAGTAATTAATGTTTATTTGTAAATTTGTTTCTACAATTAATGCTTAAATATAATTCTTTATTTTTCTCTTTCCATCACAACTTCATTTAATGTGGGTAAAGTTAAAAAAAATTTCACGTTGAAACACATTTAATGAATTATATACCATTTTTCATATTGATGAATTTGTCAAAATGAGTAACATTATGGATTGGAGGGAGTGATCAACGTCTTTAATAAATAAAAATACTAAACATATAGTGGAAAATATTACTTAACTAATAATTTCCCATATAATTTGTTTTGTTTTGATTTATTCTTAAATTTTTTAGTGATAAAACGTATGCTGCAAAAATTAAAAAAAAAGACTAAATTATATAAAACCCATCTAAACTTTAGGTTAGTTGCACGTAACCTCCTGACATTTCAAATTTTGAATTTAATTTTGTAATTTTTTTTATCGTAGACTCTGTTCTGTTAAGTAATCGTTATCTTTTGTTTTTTTTAATCAAATCTATTTCAATTTCTAAATACTTAAAATAAAACATTTAATTAAAAATTATCATAAATAAAATATGAAATCTAAACGTCCCAAATTATTAAACTACATCCTAAATTATTAAGCATACGTCTCAAGTTAAAATATAACAAATCCAAATCATAGATTAACATTGTCTTAAAATTAAGAGCCCGGTTCAACCCTATTGCATGCCTGTAATGGTAATCATGATTACCTTATGAAGAGGAGGATGTTTGGTTGCTCTTTAGCATGGCAATAGGTTTTACCATGGTAATGATGATTACCAAAAAATTGCTAATCACCATTCATATCTCTCCCTCTATGAATGCTCATTACCACTTATTGAATGTTTAAAAATGTCTAATTTGCCCTTTAAGCGCATTTGTTTTTATTTCGATTAGTTCATTCCACCCACCACCTTACTGTCATTGTCGTTGCCACAACCACCCCTATTGCCACCACCATAATTACCACTGCCATCACTACAACCGTCACTGCCACCACTCTTGTAATATTTACCACAATATCGTCGATGCCACCACAACCACCACCATCACCTTTCCTGTTGTCACCACCACCTTTAGCAGCTACCACATTTGCCGCTACCCTCGTCACCTCCCCTTTTGTTGTTGCAGCGACCACAACCACAGCCACCTCCACTGTCTTGGCAACCATCACATTTACTCTACCATCACCTCTACTACTATGACTGTTGCCACTCTTGCCGTTGCCATCATCATCACTCCTTCCTGAAATATAATAGATCTAATAGTAATTGTTTTTTTACTTGTTCTTTTTTTTAGGTCCAGGGGTATTATGGACTTTTTATTTTGATTAAATATAAAAAAGTACTTTTTCTGCTTAATCTTCTTAATGACATACCAAACATATTGATGGTAAAAAGCATCGCATCGCATCACATCGCATCGCATTACCGTTTCGAGTATGTGAAAATTGAGCCAACTAGGCCTTAAGTATTAAAAATTGTCTCCATCCTAACCTTTTGAAATTGGACACTCGACGCTCAAGTGTGAATAATTTACTATTTATGTCGCCATAACTAAATATTTTAACCTAAAATTTAGTAATTTTTTGGTTAAGGTAAGACTAAATTGCTATATTGGTCTCATACTATTATTCTCTTTAATTATTATAAAAATGTCAAGCATTTAAGAAAATGATGGGGGGGAAGAGTGGCTTGAAACGTTGAAAGTGGGTGCAAGTGCAACGGAGGGCCACAAGAATACTGGCCATTCCATCTTCCTTGGCACGTCAAGCAGCCCCCATTTGGCCAAATTAGAATCTTATCGTTATCTTAAAAAGTTCTACATTTATTTATTAAGAAAAATTAAAGATAGGAGACACTACGTATTGCAAGGAAGGGGAAATTTGGAAAAAAAATAAAGACAAAACAAAATGAGCTAGCTTACTAATCCTATGGGTTAATTAACTTGTCAAAGGTTCGATCCTAAAGATTAAGAATTCAAAAAATTAATTTTAAAATGAGCATGATCTTTATCAATTAAATTCATCCTTTTTGATGGGTTAGTAAGTTGAGTTTGCAGGCTCAACTCATATTATTAGTTCTAAGTGTGATGATAAGATGAATGTCGTATAAGTTATTATAGTCAAAATTAATGGTCAATGTTAATAGGGGTTGACTCAGGGCATATTAGCTTGAGATTTATACTTCTTGAATATTTTAGAGCCAAAAAAAAAAAAAAATCAAGTGCTAGGTGCTCCCCAGTGTACACTTCCGGCGTATTCTAGTACCTTATCTTTTTATGAAATTATTAACTTATATAAGATGTTATGTAGGATGTCGATTGTCTTCTATTAATGTGATTTGGCAAGTTCCGTAAAAAAAAATAATAATGGACACTTAATAAAAAGGGGTCTACAATAAATAAAAGATTAAAAGACTAAGGGATTAAATTTAAACTTTAAAATATCAAGAAGACTGTGCCATCGATCCAAAATTTTTGAAAGTTTTGTATACGTAGTCTTGAAAAAATATTAAAACTAACTTATATCTTTGAACTATACTCCGTCCATTCCTTGTTATGAAAAATAACTACTGAAATCATATGATTTAAAATGTTAGTTAAATTTAATTAAAAGTAATAAATATATAAGATATATATTTTCAATTATATCCTTATTTGTAAAGAGAGTGCAAGAAAAATAATAAGTACATATTTATTGCAGAAAGGTAATAAGTGACACATATTTATTTAATGAGATGAAGGTAAAACGACAAATTTAAAATTGGCAAAATTAATTTTTCAATCCTTAGAGTTTCATCAAATTTGGAATTAAGTCATTCTAGTTTTATTTAACTGAGATCAAGTCAGAGATAGTTAATCCATCTGATTTTGCAACTCTTGCCATGTCAAAGCAAAACATGGGTGTAGACATGGAGAGAGAGTAAGAGAGCATGGGGAGAGAGGGGCAATTGGGAGTGTGAGAGAGAGAGAGAACTGAGGGAAAGAAGGTGGGGGAGAAGGAGGAAAGGGACAAAAAAAGAAGAAGCAAGATGGTGGAAAGCTGGAAGATGAAGAAGAGAGAACTGCAATCAAACTGGCCATTGTTGGTCCTGAAAAGATGAGAGAGAGGGAAAGCTACGAACTGGGGAGAGAGAAAGCAAGTCTCAATGCATTAACAGTGTTTTGATGGAAGGGTTTGAAGCTTTGACAAAATAAAACATAAGGATCCAACAAGCAAGACAATTTCACTTAATAAGAAGATGAGATTAAGAACCACTCAAACATCCACATCACAGTAAACTCTATAGCCACAGTTTTGACCGCTCAACCCCCCTACTGCACCCACTATTGATACTGTTGATATCATCGGCAGCTAAGTTTCACTTAGTGACTAGCTTCAGTGTCATGGTTGGTCACAAGTGATGAGAGAGTGTTTGTGCCACAAGAGATATAAAGAAAGCATGTGGATGTTAATGCATTAATGGTGTTTTGACGGAAGGACTTAGCTTTGGCAAAATAAAGTATAAGTATCTAATAAAAAGAAATAAGACTAGAAGTACCTAATTTCAAATCAAATGAAACTTTATGGACTAACAAATTGATTTTTCCTTTAAAATTCTAAACAAAAATTATTCATTTCTTATATTTACCAGAAAAAAAAAATGTTTGGGGGAAGTAGAATATAGTTGATTAATTTGAATAGGTTAAAAAAGTTTGTTGAGTTGGTTATTTGTAATAATTAGGTGTCGTTTTTTTTCTAAAATATCTTTGCTAATCATTTATTAGCTAAAACTATTATTTAATTGATCATTTAACATGTGCAATTATTACAATAATTAGTTTGAAAAAAATAGATAACTATTAGAGATAAAATAGACTGAGATCTTATATTTATGAGTAAAATACCTCGACCGTCCTTCTATTTTATCTCAATTGTAGTTTCCTCTTCTCTATTTTGAAAACATATATAAATCTATTTTACAATTAAAATATATGTTACACAAATCTCTCTCCTATATTTAATATTTAATTTTAATTCACCCAACCATTAGTTAATTGTTAAATTTGCCTTTTCATTGATTTTTTTAATCAAAATGACCATTTTTAATTTAATAATTATTTAGACATTATATTTTTCATCAAAATAATATTTTTTATAAAATAAAAAATAATTGTAATACGCATATTTTTAAAAATTTTAATATTTTATAAAATTTATCAATTTTGATTTAAATCATAAAATTTTATAATTTTAATATTTTATCACATTTATTAGAAATTATTTACTTTGATTTTTTTGAAATTGTAAAATCATATTTCAAATACGTAGTTTTTGTTTATCATAAAGTTTAAATAATATGAGTTTGAAAGATTTATGAATTATTTAAATTCATAATTCAATTTTTTTGGTGAATTATAATTTAATTTTTAAATACATCTTTGTTACAAAAATTTATAAACATATTTAGTCACAGCATATATATTTATTGAAAAAATTAGTTAAAATTTAAATCAAGTCTTTTATGTTTATCTTAAATAAATAAAATTCATGTAATTGTAAAAATATAATTTAAAAATTTATTAGAATGAGGGGTAAAGTAGTTAGTAAAATTTATTTTAATATAAATTTTAGTTAAAAATAATATTTTTAAAATCTTTTTAGAATATTTCAAGACTAAACCGTATATTTTTAAAATAAAAGGGAAGTTTATATAATTAATTCAAACTAAAAAAATAGTTAAAGTATTTTACTCTATATTTAAAACTAACTTAAAAATCAAATTAACTCATATTAAAGATAGATAATATCAACCTATGGTAAAACAAAATTAAAAAAAATTACTATTGGTCAAAACAGTCAAGAATGATTCGGCAAAAAAAAAAAAACAGTTAAAAACGATATCGATTCCTTTTTGCGGCGGCTGGTTTAGAAGAGAATATTGTCTCTAGGGTTTTGACTTCTGTGGGCACCCACCCCTGTTGGGGTGATTCATTAGCCTTGCATCTGCTCACTTTCTTCCCTAATCTGGCATTCTTCATTTGTTTTTGTCTTCTGTAGCTGCTCAAATCTAGAGGCCGAGTATCACTCTATTTGACATTGCAAGGTTAGTCTGTTGATTACTTCACGAGCAAAGTCCATTCATGAATATGGTTGTTTCAATCCCCTAGCTTTACTTTGAATTCATTCGTGTAAGCTGGCCAAAAAGAAAAATAACTTTGAGCGAGTTCTATTTATATTTGGTCCTTCTAAACAATTACAGTTTTCAAGGTCTGCTGAAATAAATGTTATCTCCTTTAGTGATTTAACATACTTTTCCCTTGATCTCAATCCTAGAAATGGAGGCTACCTCCAAAGAACCACCCGCAGAAGCTATGGAATCCTTGTCTGTGTCCAATTCAGAGAATGTGGAATCATCTGGCACTTCAAATCCAAATCCAACTAATCAGTAAATTTCCTCGACCACTTGCTGGTTTCAATTTCCATGGAGCTGTTACCTGTTCTCAATTTTTCAGCGTTCTCCGCAGATTGAGTTTGGAACAGAGGTTTCAGATCGTGAGGAGTGTTGGTGAAGAGTGTATTCAAGAAGATGAGCTCCTCAATTTGCTGGCAAAGAAGCCTGAGCCTGTTTGCTATGATGGGTTTGAGCCCTCAGGTCGGATGCACATTGCTCAGGTATCCAGATTTTCCAAATAATCTGCAGTTTTCTTTACTTTTATTGATTCATAATCTGTAGATGTAGTTAGGGAAGTCTAGGAGGACATGATCTTGCTTCTGCCACTTTAGAGCCGTTTGATAAATTGAATGGCACTGGAGAAAGGCATGGGAAGGGCGCCTCTTGACACTGATGGCATTCTTGCTTTATAGTATAATTAAATCTCTTGAAAGTGGTTTAGCTAACATTCTGTCACTTGTCCAGGGAGTCATGAAGGCTATAAATGTGAACAAGCTGACATCTGCTGGGTGTAGAGTTAAGATATGGATTGCTGATTGGTTTGCACAGCTAAACAATAAAATGGGTGGAGATTTGAAAAAAATTGAGGTAGTAGGCCGTTATTTGATTGAAATTTGGAAAGCTGTTGGGATGGATCTAGACGGAGGAAAGGTAGAGTTTTTATGGTCATCAAAGGAGATTAATGCAAGATCTCATGAATACTGGCCTCTTGTAATGGATATAGGTCGAAAGAACAACCTCAAAAGGATAATCAGGTGAGTATTGATTTGGTGCATTCAGATGATCAAGTAAATGGTGTATTTGGTGTCCAACATTTTATATTATTCTTTATTTCTATCTTCCAAACTACAGGTGTTGTCAAATCATGGGCAGAAATGAGCAAGATGAATTAACTGCAGCCCAGATCTTTTATCCATGCATGCAGTGTGCTGACATATTTTTTCTCAAGGTACACTTTCGATATAAGTACGCACTTAAGGTGCCTGCTTCCATTAAAATTTTGAGTCAATATATTAACATTAATTGCCTGACTTTGCATGAAGTCATTCTAGAATTGAACAATATTGTGTAATGGATGTTGATTTTCTGAAAAGAGCTGTTCCCGTGGTTAGATTCCTAATCATTACTGTTTTAGAAGTGATCATGGCATTTCAAGATCATAATAGCAGTCTCAAATGCTTCAACGCCTTCCAGGTTACTCCCTCTAGTCCTTATTATAAGCTTCAAACAAAAAAATTTGTTAAAATTGGTTAAATACAATAAATATGTTAAAAAATGCAGCTTATTTTTCCAAAACACCTTTATTTGTGGAGAGTGTGAGTAAGAGAGAGAATGAATGAAAAAAGAGATGAGAGAGACATATCATTAATTAGGAGTAAACGTGAAAAAAATGCATTAGATGTCAGGCACCTGCAAATTGTAGCTTATAAAAAGGATCAAACCCGTTTGAAAAATTGGGGCTCATAAAGAGGACCAAAGGGAGTATTTGGCATGTTGCTTCTTTTTTGAATCAAGAGCATTATCTTTTAATTTGTTTGGCATGTTGCTTCTTTTCTGAATCAAGAGCACGACACTTTTCTTTTTTAAATCAATAGCATGGCATCTGAAGCAAGCTTTTAGGCATGCTTCAGGTGTACTTTGGTTATGATGTTTTCCTAGTGTGGTTTTTAATTTGATTTTTTTCTTTCCTTTTTACGACTCTGAATAATTTTTTCTTTCAAATCTAAAATGTAATTTATTTTTTGTGGCTGTAGCATTTACTGATCGGTCTGCATTCCTTTATTTCTTGTTTCTTGTTTTTCTCTGATTTTCCTTTGGTGGTTTTGTATGAACTCGTGGCTTGTGGTTTTTTCTCTTCTGAAACTACATTTTCCATTTTGCTTGAAACACTAATGAACATTCCATTAATTTCTCTTAAAATAGGCTGACATTTGCCAATTGGGAATGGATCAGCGGAAAGTGAATGTACTTGCTAGAGAATATTGTGATGACATTAAGAGGAAGAACAAGCCTATCATCTTGTCACACCGTATCATCCTTTTTCCCCTTATTCCATATTTTGGTTGGTTATCTCTCGATAATTATTTCAATGTTGGTTTGCAGATATGTTACCTGGCTTACAGCAAGGGCAAGAGAAAATGTCAAAAAGTGACCCATCATCTTCCATATACATGGAAGATGAGGAGGTAAGCGGTTTTAAATTTGTCATATAGAAAAAGTGAAGATGAATTGTCCCATAATTGCATTTTGTAATAAAATAATGATTTTAATTGAATTATAGCACTCGCATCCTGACATCTGAACTTGTTTGCATAATATAGGCTGAAGTAAACCTGAAGATAAAGAAGGCTTATTGTCCACCAAAGATTGTGGAAGGAAATCCATGCTTGGAGTACATTAAGTACCTTATCTTCCCATGGTTTAATGAGTTCTCAGTGGAGCGCGGTGCAGAGAATGGTGGGAATAAGTAAGTTGTGCTGCCTTTTGTTGGGATAGTTGGTGGTTCCATTTTGCTTTCTCGAACCTCTTTGGTATGCATGTGTGTTTTGTCACTGCCTGGGTGTTGAATGATTCTTATGATTTATCATCTGTACTCGTGCTCCAGCTGATCTGAATCTGGCTTTAGAAAAGTATGATTCTTATGATCTGTATTCTTATTATTATTACAGGACATTTAAGACCTTTGAGGAGCTTATTGCTGACTATGAAAGCGGGGAGCTACATCCTGCTGATCTGAAACCGGCTTTAGCAAAGTCACTGAACAAAATTCTGGAGGTAATTTTTGTACTTAAGTTTGTGCATATTATATTTTCCCTCTGTTTAAGTTTCCCAAAAAAAAGAAAAAAAAAGTTTCAAAATTTTCAGAGTTTGTATGAGATTTGCTTTGTTAGAGATATATATTTATATATATATATATATATAGAGAGAGAGAGAGAGAGAGCTTAGTATGGTCTGCTAACCTGGGACAAATAGTTTATAACAGCTTCATGACTTTGGAAGGTGGCTTTTACTTCTGAAAAACTTTTGCAAGAAGACACTTCCCACGAATCTGTTCTGAAACGGAGATAGCACTAGTGCGAGCGAGAGTAGGGGTGGTATAGTGGGATCTCAAAGAATTAAAAGGAGTATTTATTGGATAATAATCTATTGAGAAGAAAAGAGCAAGAATCTCACTCTCAAACTTCTTAAGGATTATCACCCAGAAGAATACAACAACTCTCAAATAACTTGGCTTCCTGAGCCTACAAAATAAATTCTTGTTTAAATGAAAAAATAATTGACATTTAAAATAAATAAAGCTGAAAATCAGCTACATCCTAACTGACAGCACAATGGCACAAGCTTCTTGCCATGTTCTCTCAACAAAACACCCGCGTGCAAGAACGTCAATCTGACTAAATTAGCTGTTGCTCTCCTTTTTTGTTGCCTTGAGTAAGTCTGGAATGGCCTTGGGTGCTTATCATAGTAGTAGCTGCAGCATCAGCACTGAACTTGGGATGTTAGTACCTATTTGGTCTGCAAACCTGGGACAAGTGGAACAAGTAATCTGTGTTGACTTTGATTTTATGACTGTTATACAGGACTCGAAATAGTTTAGCAAGAAGAGTGTGCGCAAGTGTATGGTTTTTACTTTTCTTTGGTGCAAGCTAAATCCTTCTTTGTTTATGTGTGCAGCCTGTCAGGGAACATTTCAAAAAGGACAACAATGCCAAAGATCTCTTAAAAAGAGTCAAGGTGAGTGATGGAACAACTCAACTATGAATTAACGTAAATATGCCAGAGTATTTTCTAGCCTTATTCAGCTTGGAGAATAAGGCTGCTGGCCTGTACACTTGTCTGGACTGTGCAGGCTATATTCATTTGGCTAGAAGCCTTGTTGCACAAATAATGGTAATACATACCATATACAATTTTTTTTTTTGTTTTAAACTATGGATGCTATAAAGATGATCATGGTAAGTTTTCAATGAAAGTATAACTAATCATGGTAAGTTTTCAATGAAAGTATAACTAAGTTAAAATCATAATTTTCAATTTAAACCACAAGTCCATCTTCATCTTTATTCATGCCATTAAGATTCTTTATAAACCCTTCAATCATTTTGGAGTATTTCAGACGAAGAAGTCAATGATATAAATGTTGAATATATTTACATGCATTGTGAAGTGTTATATGTTTTTATGAATATAATACAGTTATATGTGTTTTTTTTCTAAATATCGGTGCGGCATAGCTAGAAAGTTTAGAAATATGTTAAACAATGTTTTAGATGCTGCCTAGTGATTTGACTTGTTTAATATTTCTCCTCTGCTTGGTGCCTTGTTCATCTCTCCATTAATTTTGCGCTGCGTTTTTAAGAGAATTTTTCTTGGGTGTGCAGGCTTACCGAGTCACCAAATGATATGATACGCTGATTTGGAACTCCAACTTCATTATATTTATTTACTTAACAGCCATCGGATTCCGGAGCACCATATTTACCTTGTTAATTGTAAATCACAGTAGCATCTCTTTAGATAATTGTGATAAATTATTGGTTTGAGATACTTTTTGAAGGAATGTGATGGTACAACCTTTTTTTTTTCCCCAAGAGCTATTAATAATGCATCCGACTGGCTCGCTGTTCTTGACTTTATTGGAAGTTAGATTTTCACAACTTCGCTTGGAATACTTGTTTTCATGTTTTCCCTGAGTGCTCTGAAGAAGCATAATATAATTTAGGGTTAATATCATTGTTTGGCGAAAAAAGTTAATACCACTCTTAGTCTTTATGGTTTGATTGAACTGTTTCTGATCCCTGTAGTTTCAAATTATTAGTTTCAATCTCTATAATTTCATAGTAATTTTTTGTTATGAGTTTAACAAATGATTCTTATATTTTTAATGAATTTTGGTTTTGGTCTCTTGTTTAAATTTAGACTAAATCCTTGTGAAAGAGACTATAATCAATGATTTAAAACCAAAAGGATTAAAATCAGGATCGGATCAAATTGTACAAATCATTGATGATATTAACCTTGTAATTTATACACTATTAGCTGTGTGTTAGCGGCATAAAATCAACAATGTGATGAATTCTGCTGCTGTATTGCAAGAGGGTGGATTTGTATCCTCTTGTGAGTCTTCGTGTAATGGTGATAGCTAAATAACTAATTAATATATTAGCTAAATAACTAATTCTGCTACTGATGAAATTATTTGTGACGAAGGCTGCCTCTCCAATACAGATAGTGGCAAAATAACTAAATACAATGAAAAAAAAAATTATTGGATTTAAAAAGGCAGATATCAACAGCTTGAAGTTATAAGTGAAATTCAACTAAGTAACTTTCCACTTAAAGGATATGGAATGATTCCTTTCAACAAAATTTTGAATGGCTACTCCTTATTAAAGGATAGTTTTAGTTTGAACTCGAAAATTATTAATAAAAAATTTGTAATATTGATAATTTAGATGTTGATAAAACATTTTCAAATGTTAATATAATAAGTTTAATTTTCAAAATAATTATTATTGTTATGAACATTCATCATTTAAGTCTAACAGTTTTTGAGTTAAATGACTAAAAATATATTTTTAAAATCAAGGGACCAAATTGAAATATTGTATAAAGTTAAAGAATTAAATATATATACTTTAGCTAGAATTCTTGATGTATTTATATATTTCTTCCGATCTTAAATATAAGAATTTATAAAATAATTTGATTTAGTTGTAAATGTAAGATCCCAATCTATTTTGTATCCAAAATTTATAATTTTTCTCCTCAAACTCTCATTAATCACAATTATTGTTTATTAAGGGGATTTTCTGTAAGGAAGTTGCTAATGCTAATAAATAAATATTCTAAGGTTCGTAAAAAATAACAGATATTTTAAGAAAATCAACACACATTTTTGTACAAATAACTAAACTAATTTTATTAATATTTGCAAATTAGTAAAGCTAGTAATAAAGGTTGAGCCTGTAGGCTAATACAGGTTGACATTTTGCCAACTTGCTAGTGTGTGAGTTGTTTTAACCTATACTGCATAACTTACGGCCGGAGGTTAGCCCACCTTTTTTTTTGTTAAATATAATTTTGTTTTATTTTATATGCAAATAAAATACATCTTTTCACTCTTTTATCTTAGAGCACTTGAAAAAAACACAACAGCCAATACTTTTTTGGGTTAAACAATACTTGGCACGTTTAAAAATAGTATTAAAATATTTTACTTCTTTTTATAGTCTAATGACATAATTTGAAGAAAAATAATAATTTACACAATTAGTAATAATAATAACAACAATAATTTTCAAATGTCATGTGCACAAGGATAAGTTTATTGAAAAAGATCTAATCACAATTTGTAAGTTAACATTACTTTTTTAAAAAAAAAAAAAATTAGACAGGCTGCCAACTTGTCATGATGGGCTCTTAAGTTGCAAGTTGCTTCAACCTGCACCGCTTGCCTCTATGGTTACAGCAAACCAATCTATAACTCGTGAGCTTGCAGGTCAATTCATATTCCCAAATCTACAAATTAATTATCTTACTCCTAAATTTAAGGGTAAAAGAGTATATTGATTAGAAGATTCATATTTCAACAAACCCTTCATTTGGCTATATGTGTAAGAACTAGGTTCTCCTTTTTCATGCTTTGCTACAGTAGCATTACTTCATCCATCCTCTGTGACCTCTCAAACACAATAACCAAGTCCTTGTAAATGAATACATAGGCTTGCACCAATCTTGCTTTTGTGTCACTTTGAACATCTCAACATTCATTAAGGTGTTTGTAGCATAGGGATATAAGAATAGTCAGCATTAAATAACATCATCGTATATAAATAACCTTCAATTCTCTATGGATTCAAAGCCAAAAAATGGTGGTAATGCACTAATATAGGAAATTGCATCTGGTTCCAGACAAATATTCTTGAGCTAATACCCAATATTTTTTTAGGTTTTTAATATAAGAGTTTGTTGAATAATTTGAATAGATTAAATAAGTCAAATAAATTAGTTAATTATAACATATATATAACTTGATCTCTCTAAAATACTCATATAAAATACTCCTCTGATCTTATTTATAAGGCACTTCCAGCATATTTTACACAGAAAACCTTAAATTTCATTAACTCTCATTTAAAATTTAATAACTTTTTAACTTTATCCCTATTTAATATACATTATATCTCATGTAAATAAAATCAATACAATAATAAATGAGGGATAAAATTGTACATCTATACAAAAAATTTCTCTCAGGCTTTATAAATAAGACCAAAAAGTGTCTTCTTTCTCTGCCTTATAAATAGGACCAGAGGAGTATTAAATTATATATCAATTTATAAGCTAGCCAAATTAGTTTTGGAAGAAAATATATTAAAGTCATATATTCAGGGTGGAATTTAAGCTCTCAATTAGCTCCTGTATTAAAAAGTAAAATCACATGCATCTTCAGAGGCCCCAAGACACGAGACTTTTATCAACCTTTTTTTTCTGTACAGACTTCTATCAACTTTTGAAGCTTCTCCTCATCTTTTTTAAACCTCTTCAAACATAATACTCCCTCACTCTTTATTATAAAAGCTAGTCGATGATTAAATTTGATTCAAAATATAAGATCCTACTCTACTTTATTTTTCATTTTTTTTCAAATATTTCTATTAACTGCAAAGGATTTCTACCAAGAAATAATTCTAATAATCCATTATATATGACTGAAAAGGATATTTTAGGAATACACATTTGTGATAAATAATTAACTTAATTAATTTTTTAAAAATATTTTCAACTCTCTAATTCTTATATTAAGAATTGAGAATAATATTATAGAAATTGCTTCTTCCTTGCTAGTGCTATAAAAACTCTTTTACAAGTGAGAGGTCTTGAATTTGATTCTGCTTATCACAATGAGGTCCGGTTCCTGAATCAAAAGAAAGTGCTTCATTGGCTATGAGCTTGTTGGGCTTCCATCGTGATATTGTTTCAAAATCCACATTGTTATTACCTAAAAGAATTCTATTTCAGGAATCATACATCTATCTAAGGGGCAAATTAGACATTTTTCATTTCCAAGAATTCATTTGATGTCGCCTGGTGACGCTACTGATCACAAAAACGAGCAAAGAGAAGCAAACACGTGACTCCAATTTCCAACTCAATATCCTCATCAAATTTACATTCAACAAGCCAATTTTCTTTTTTCTTTTCCTATAATTTTACACTATTTTCAATTAAATTCCTATACTCCCCCCTATGAGGTTTATCTTTTTCTCAACGATACATATTAGTCCTTATATTTGTTAATTTTGTCAGGTAGATCTTAATAAATCTAAATCAATTATATATAAAAATAAAGGGAGATTATGAGCATAATAATTTATTTTTATGTTGATAATTACTAAATTTTATTTTAAAAACCTTTTTTATTTTGTGTTTTGTTGCAACTTATATGCCACCTAGTCAACATACACATCAATCCTACTTAATACTACCTCCGGTCCTAATTATAAGAACCAGTTGACTAATTTGAGGAGATTAAGGAAGTAAGTTGAGTAAGTTATTTGTCCTAAATATGTGTTGTCTTTCCGAAAATATCCTTGCTAATTAAGTGTATTAACTAGAACTCTTATTATTAGAAAGGTTACTTTGGAAAAAAATGTATAAATATGAGAGACAAAATGGATTGGGGTCTTATATTTAGAACCAAAATAAAAGTTAAACAAGATCTTATATTAATGACCAGAGGTAGTATATTATTTTGCCGTACATACATAATTAACATATTAGGGCTGAGGAGCATAGTAGAGATTAATGTTTATAATTAACAAAATTGATAGGATTTAGTCAGACAAAACTGCCAAAAAAACCTCCAAGAACCTGATTAAAAATCAGATAAAACTAATAAATTAATTTTTCCTAAAATGTCTTATACAACAATTTTGAGTCAAATTTACTCTATTTAAATTTATTCATATTTTTTTAATATAAAGTTATAATACTCCTCCGGTCCTTAATATAAGACTCATTTAATTAATTTGATTAGATTAAGAAAGTTACGTAAGTTAGTTAATTATAAAAAATGTGACACATTTGTCCTAAAATACCATAATTATCTTTCTTAATATTCACTCTTCTTCTTCTATTTGATTATGGTTGAGGGAGTATCTATAGGGGTAATTTAGAGAAAATTGATAAATATTAGAAATAGATCTTATATTTAAAACTAAAACCAACTCAATAATTAAATCTTATATTAAGGATCGGAAAAGTAATATTATAATAAAGTATTTCTCAAATTTTGATATCAAGCCAAAGGGAGAGGGTCTACCCAGCGAGTCCCAACGTGTTGGGGGAGCGAGCAAAGCGAATAACAGAGGAAGAAGACGCAGACCTCTCCTCTGCGAAATCCCATCACCGAAAAAGAAAAAGGGGCAAATGAGTGGCAGATGGAGAACTGCCTCGCTTCTCCTCCGCCACATAGCCGCCTCCTCCAAATCCATCACTCACCATGTTTCTCGCCCTCCTGTCTATCCCGCGCGCCGCTTCCTCGGTTTCGCAGCTTCTTCTGCGATCCCTTATCGTGGCCCCCTTGATTCCGACGATTTTGATGCTTCGGTTTCTCCTAATTTGGACCACAACTATGAATTGGGAGCTCAGGAAGATACCGAGGGCGTGAAAATTCCCGTCAAAGCTTACTTTCTTTCCACCAGGTTCGTCCTGCTTCTAATTCAATCAATCTATTGATTACTGTTCGGAGTTTGATTGTCGTGAGTCTTAATTCTTTTTATCTTTGGCATTCCAAATCCGTGGTTGCTATTTACGGTTGGATTTAGAATATCATGTTTGGCAAAAAAAATTTGCGTTTCCCTAAGCAAATTAATAATTAAATCATGAAAGGCGTATCTTTCAATACCTTTAGTTGTTAGATTTTAGTTCGTCCAGGGAGTCTCCCCCCCCCCCCCCAAAAAAAAAAAAAAACAAACAAAAAGAGTTTCCTTTCACTGGGCAAAATTATATATTTATTTGACTGACTTGGTAACGGAACTAATTTGAGTAGGAAATACATTGAAGGGCCGAAGTGTATGTTATAATTATGTCTTGAATTTGTTGCTTTACTCATTTTTAATCTTTCAAGAGTGGGCGGATGATCATTTTCTATCCTCTCATTCTCATGTGAGAAGCTTGCATGACTGTGTTATGTGAGGAGAGGAATCGATACAGATTCACTTTAGTAATGATTTTCATGGTTGACTCGACAATATTATGGTTCCATCTATCTCTATCATCATGTGACAATGTTGCGAATTCGCTTTTTACATAGAGGATTTTCATCCATGGATGATGAATTAACTGATTAGTGGGAACCATACTAATAAGAATCGGGGTGTTTGGTTTTTTGGGTTAGATCTATTTACAAGCTCTTCATGAAATTTTTTTTGTTCATAGGTTGCAACTAAATTACTTTCATGATTTTATTTTCTCTTTTTATCACTATCTTTGTTCACTTGTCTGGCTCTCGTTCTCCATGATTTGGCTGTCTCAGATTCTTCATTTTGGCAGTATAAACTTGAAGAACATTCAAGCTGAGAATTTAGGAAACATTATTCCTCCATCCTCTCGCTCATCAAACTCCATTGCTCTCCGATTCCGTAACTTCAATTCAGACACTAATGTAAGATTGTCTGAAAAAAATCTCTTGTAGTGTTTCTATTGGAAGCTTTTTTTATAATTATGTTTGTAGCTTTTAAATGATTTTCCCTACGACATGTATCATTTGCATCACTTGCCATCATGTTTATTATTTTAGCCGTTAATACGCCATTATTTGTTCATGTGTTTTGAATATTAAGGTTGTACTCAGAGGAAATTCAGACTGGATATTGAGTGTTTATGCAAATTTCTTTCTTGTGGGGAAGGAGGGGGAGGGCTGGGCTGCATTTTGATAGCAGGATATCTGCAGTCATCAAGTGATAAACTGTTTAAAAATAATTATAAAAACGTTCAAATAGATGAAATACATGAGGTGAGTGATTTAACAAACTTTGACCAGCTTGAGGAATTTTAATTCAGGGACTTGGAACACGTGAGAAAGCAAGCAGCTATCGGTACATGGTGATATTCCAGTATGGGTCTGCTGTTCTTTTTAATATTGAAGATCATGAAGTGGACAATTACCTGGAATTAGTTAGAAGGCATGCTTCTGGATTGCTTTTAGAGATGAGGAAGGATGGTAATTTTCTTTCATTCAGAAGGAACTAATCCATCGTTTACTTCTTTTACTGTTTATCTTTAATATGTTCTCCTGGATTAGATTATGCGGTGAAAGAGAAGCCACACTTAGTTGAGGACATGCGGGGAGGGCCAGACTATATAGTTCTGAAATCTTTGGACACTGATGGTATCCGCATCATTGGTAGTGTTCTGGGACAAAGCATAGCACTAGATTATTTTGTTTCTCAGGTTTTTGTTTTCCCCCCTCTCTTTTAATGTTAGCATCTTGTATATTTTTTGCAGTTTAATTTGGGGTTAAAGTGCAAATTTGCCTTGAAAGCTTTTACTCAGGAGCAATAAGTACCTGGAATTTTTTTGGCGTGCAAATTTAGTCATAGTAATGTTGCCTCATACCATTAAAAATGTGAATGGTCAACGTGATTATTTTAATAGTTAATGTTAGTTTTTTAATGGTATGGGACAATATTGTTTTGATTTTGAGCTTCCAGGGCAAATTTGCACTTGAAAAAACTTTTTGATGCCCAGCTCTTCTGAGTGAAAACTTTCTGGGAAAATTTGTACCTTATTCAAGCAGAACGTGTTTTAGACGTCTGCTATCCTTTATTCCTTGCACTCTTGATGTGTCCGTTTTTCTTTCCCCTTTTTTGTATGGGAAAAGGAGTGGAAAAGTCTATGCTGATGAAGCAGTTATTACAAATTGTATCTGTGAACTGGTTTAGTTATACGCCACAAGGATGTCTCGTGGATGTTATGACGCTTTAGGAACATGTCAGTTAATCCCGAAATGAGCTAAATGGCACCATAATTTTGGCAGTTATGTTGTGTCCACCCAGTCTATTCAAAATAGAAGAAGATGATGGTTACTAGATTCGGGTAGTTGAAAACTTAATGCTTCTTTTCTCTTCGGTTAGGTGGATAGTTTAGTTGAAGAGTTTGCAGATATAAATCGTGGAATGGAGAAAACAGGAACTTTCACAATGGATAAGAAGAAGCTCCTTCAGCTCGTTGGAAAGGCGAATTCAAATTTGGCTGATGTGATTCTTAAAGTTGGCCTCTTTGAGAGGTACTGTCATCTTAATATTTAGAGATTAGAAAAATCTCCAATTCTGCATCTTCCCTTGTGAGGGTTTGTAGAAGTTCTTAGGATCATTATAAAAACTATTAAAAACCTAATCTTCTAAATGTATGTCAGTAATAGTATTCTTCATCCCCCCCCCCGGGGGGAAAAAAACTTCATCTTTTGCCTGAGCGTCTGAGTAAATTTAGCTCACAGATTTGTTCTCTCAGCATTCTCATTAATGTTTTATTGTGAGCTAATCAGATCAGAAATTGCCTGGAGGGATGCTAAGTACGCTGAAATATATGAGTATCTTAGGGAAGAGTATGAAGTTGCACAACGTTTTGGAAACCTGGATTTCAAGTTGAAATTTGTTGAGGTATTTCAGTCCTTATATCCATTTTAATTTTCTGAAAGTATTAGACGCTTCATTTGAATCAATAATTATTATTAACTCAGCAACAAATGAACATTTGTAGAAGCTAAACGTTATCTAATAAAGGCTTGTGATCTTTTTTTTGATTTGCTTGTGGGCAGCATAATATTCATTTTCTCCAAGAAGTGCTCCAAAACAGGAAGTCAGATTTCTTGGAATGGTGCATTATTTTCCTATTGTTTATCGAAAATGTTATATCCATATACGAGATCCTTCAGGATTCAAATACAATTTCTTAGTTAGAGCTGGATTGCTGATGTGTTATTTAACCCTAGTTCTTCCAATTTTTTATTAGTTAGTTATTTTTGCTTTTCATTTTGTAATTATGATAAAGAAAATTCATATGCCCGCCTAAATTTTGGTTTAGCTCATAAATAACAAGGGAGCCGGATGAAAATTACTTGAAATTGTTTAGTTATCTATGAGAATGGCTATCTCATAACCAAAATCTACAGTATGAAATCTCTGGTGCCTTGCAATTTTGCTTAGTATTTGTATTTATTTTTTTAAAAGAAAAATTAGCTGGTCTCATTTGTTGTGTAGAGCTTGAGAAATAATTCACATTGTTATTGTTAATGAATCATAAATCACGTGGCTTGCTAGGTTTCTCTTTCTTTTTCCTCTTTTTTTGGGTTACCTTGAAAGTTTAGACCTTAACACTTATTATCTCTGGTCCTAATTATAAGACTTCATTTTTAAGTTACAAATAATGTCTTATAATTAGAATCGGAAGTAGTACTTACTAACTAAACTAGCCTCAGGTGACTCGAACCTTTTGTGTTACATATCAATTAGATAATAGTTACTGAAATTTTAGTGTCTATAAAAAAACCATGATCATTAAAATATTTGTACCCACACCCAATGGATGTCATTTTATGGACAATCCGCTCACTCTGTCGTTAATTATTTCACCTTGAGTAAATTAATCCCTAAAATATTTTATTTTAATGTTATCAATTTATTATACAAAATTTTATTGTCATCAATTTAATACTGATGGTAATTGAGAACATAAATAGTAGTGAACACATGGAGTATTCTTGTCCAACATGGCACAGTCTTGATGTGAACATTTTGAGGAAAATAACAAATTTGAAACATATCAAATGGCATATTCCCTTATCATATTGAAAGGCAATTCCTAACCGAGTTCCAGGAAGCATTGAAATAACGTGTTTGCTGAAAACTTTAAGACTAAATTGTTGACAATAAATGTTTGGATTAAATTAATGACAATGATACCTTTCAAATTGTGCCTTCAAATAATTTTTCCCCAAATATGAAATTCATTCATGGTAAATTTATCATAGAAAGCATAAGCCAATACACGGTTTACAATCAGTGATATGTACTCAATAGGAATTTGTTCTAGAAAAATTAGAAACTACAAATTGAGCAACAAGTTATGGAAGCAATTAAGAGAGATTAAAGATAATAAAGAGAATAAGAAGCGATCGAAATAGTAGGAACCCAAGGAACATGTATTTTAGAAAACAGAGTTCAACACGCGAAGGAAATAACAGCTCAAGAATTTCAAGTATAAGCATTATAAGAGTTTATCAATCTCTTATGTCATGCAGTATCCTCACAAAAAAGCATGTTGAATAATACTTTATTGAATTCTAATATGAATAATAAAAGTAAAATACATTAGTTTAAATAGAAAATATGATTCAACACATGTTAGAAACCTTAAAAAGCTAAAAGCCCAAAATGTTAGGCGCAAAGGAGTAGAGCGGTCAAAACAGGCCAAGCCCACTAGGCTAATTCTTTTAAGCCTTTTTAAATAGAGGGCCGAGTTTGTATTTTAGGTGATTTAAAAAAAAAATTAGACTTGAAAGTGCAAGCCCTATAGGGCTCAAGAATAAAAAGACCAATCCTTTAGGATCAAGCGCTAGCCTTTTTAAACCCACATATTTTTTTTATTATTATTAATATATTTATAAAGTTATGAATTAGTCTTTTATAAATAAGTTTAAATTAGAAAAATATTTAGAAAAACCAATACTCAAGCCAGATAATTGAAAAGAATTATATGTTTTGGACTTGTGGAAGAAAAATTAAAATCAATTTTCAATTCTTTCAAGAATGACAATTGATATTCTTAACATTTTAATCACCACAATAGCTAGTAAATCTTCATTTACCATCGGTTTGCATATCTTAACAAAGTGTAAACATTTTTTTATTCAAACAAATATTCAGGCTCTTATTTGTACTTATAACTACTGCATAATTTTATTTTAGATAAGGTAAATGAAGACAAAAATCTTAATATTTTTATCACTGAAGAAAAGCTCACTTGTAGTAAAGAACAATCAAATATTGCCGATCTTGATGATATTGATGAAGATGAAGATAAAGATAATAATGATGTTGATAATGTTAATCTTTAGCTACTAGGTTTTTTATCTTTCTGTTTTTTGTGTTCTGTTAGATTTTGATATTTTTTAATTTTGGACAATAGTTTATTGGTATTTAATTTTTTTTCTATACACCATTAGTTTATTTTACTTTTGTTTATAATTTAAATAAAAAATCTTAGAAGTTTTGTTGTTTTTTTAATTTTAAAATAATTAAAAAGAATTGAAATTTTAAAAAATAACATTAAAAGGCCAGTCCTTTTAAGTCCTGAGCATGTATGTCCAAGGGTCGGGTTTTAATAATTAGATAATTTTAAGATACGTGAGTTTCAAAAGACCGGTCCTTTTAGACCCTGGCTCTTCAAGGGCTCGCCCTTTAGGATCGGACTGACCCTTATTGACAACTCTACAGAGGAGTAAAGCGTGTTACCTATAGGAAGTATGATCCCGAAAGTGATTTCGGTTTGCACCAGTTTTTATACCTCTGTTGGCTTTACCTTGTTTCAAAAGCATGTATGTGACATTCCTTTAATGATCGTGGGTGACTGGGGAGTCACTTTGATGGTGTGTAAAAGAATATTTGATTCTGGGGAGATGATGAATGAAGAGCCGAAATCCAAATTTTTAGAATAAATGGATATTGTGAATATCCTTTAAATAATTTAAATGGTGTGTGGTAGTGATTAGAATCCATCTAAATCAAATTTGGTTAGCTTTAAATGAATTCAATGAATACTGTGAGACAACTGGGACTTTTAAGCTAATTCCTAAAAATAACTAATAATATCTTAATTTGTCTTATTTAGTCATTAAAAATTTGTTTTGGGTTTTATTTAATATGTCCAACCCATTGCAACTTAATTGAGCAAAATAGCAAGCAAATTAACATTAAAAAAAAAAGAACTAATGGGGGCTGAATCTAATAGAAGGGACTAGTTCCTCACAACGTGATGAACTAAATTTCGAACCCTTATCGGGAGATGTGCCCATATTTAGTACGCAACAGTATCTCAAATAAGAAGATACATATACTTTCGTTAAAAAACATTAAAAAAAAAAAAAAAGGATCCAAGGACACTATTTTCAACTTAGGCTTACTTATAATTGATCCAAGTCCATCTCCTAAAGGTCTTGCATGATCCTTTGTGTTCCTTGGCTTATTTGGAAGCTTTCTTCACCTATCTCTTTTATTTGGACTTTATTTGTTACAAGCCTAACTTCTACGGTGCGTAGATAAGTGATAGCTTTTAGTTGTGTACTTTGAGCCTCATACAACTTCTCCTTGGCTTGAAGATCTAAAATAACTCTTTGTAATCAATAAGAGTTGGTCCAGTTGGTAAAGAGTCGGCTCATCACCTATAAGGTCATGAGTTTGAATCTCGATGCCGATATGAGGACTTTGTTGGTGAGCAATCTGTAAGTACCTCTATAAGCACTTTCTGAATCTAGAGGTATGCCTTGATCCTGGTGAGTCCCCAGGACCTAACTCACCTAAACTTTTTTGTACAAAAAAAAGAAGAAGAAGAAACTCCTTGTAGTGTCCTCACTCTGGTTATTGGGTCTCTAATTTGTCTTAGTTAATGCAACATGGACTTTAATTTTGGACTCTTATTAAAGGCTCTTCGATCTCCATCAATCAGCCACACCACTAGCCGAAAGAGAAAAAAGAGAGACGATAAAGGGCAAAAAGTCCCAACTAAAAGAGCACATCTCCTTACTGTCAAGTGCCAACTTTGGCTAGTGAGCAGCCAAATTAAAAGTAAATATCCTAGAAACATAATGCAAACTAAATAGAGGATTACTGCTAGCCAAATTCTTTCAAATGATAAACAAGAGAACAAACTCTCCAATCTTGACAATTAGCATGTCTTAATCCTCTAATACTCCTTATAATGTTTCCCTTACCATTTTCATTTATTTATTTTTCCGCTTTTGATCATTAGCTTGGAGATAAAATAAGAGATATCCAAATAGCATGCAATCATAAGTTGGTTTAAGTTTATAATTTTCAGGCCTTGTTCCCTGCATAACCTGAAGGCGCCTTACATATTCCAGGGGAAAAAAAAAAAGAAAAAAAGAAAAAGGAGGGATATACCACTGCACCAGTAAAAACTGGGAGAACATAACCTGTAGCTCCCTTTCTAGTAGAACCATTAACATTCAGCTTCATGACGTCACTGGGAGGAGACCTCCAATGGTCATTTGAGTTGATTAAAATTTATCATGGCCATCCAAAAATCAGACCAACTTTCTGTAGCTGAACTGATAACCCAGCTTGCTAAATGTTCCTTCTGCTAAAAATATCTTTTTGGAAATGGCTTTCCAAGCATACCAACATAAGTAAGCAACCTTCAAAGAGGATAAATTCATACACAACATGGTCTCAAATATGCAAACATTAAATTTAGACACAGTTAAACTCAAAGGACAAGAAAACCACAAAAATAGAAGGTGTTCAACAGATTCCACATGATGACTACAAAAGGCTACAAAATGGGGAACATTGCAATTTGATTATTAGCATCTGAAAATTTGAAAGAAGGCAAATTTGAGATCCAAGGTTCTTTCCAAAAGTTCCTTCAAATTCAAAAGAAGCATAGAGTGCAACAAATTGAGGTGAATAGCAAGACTGTTATGTGGACTTATAATGGCGTCGTCAGTGGCTACATGATTAAGTGAAGAATCAGTAAACCTGTTTACTATTATCCGCTGCTTTGTTAATTGATTCTGTTGTTGACTGTAACCATCTAAATTGAATCAACAAAATGCGAGTCATTAATTTAACTAATGCTATCAATTAATAAGAAATTAATGTAGTTAGCAAAATATCAAACCCAGATAGTTGATATCATACAAAGTATCTTCTTCTTGGTACCATTAAAAAAGACTATACTAATCTTACATTTCCAATCCAAAAAATGGACATATCTATGAAGTTATCAGCATAACTATATACATTTTCTCAAACAATAAATGAAATATGAGAAATAAGCTATAAATTCTTCAATTCATCTTATTCCCCAAACTGTTCATGCAAGTTATTTGTATTTTTTTGGGGCCAAACATGCAGGTCCTTATTGATTACACATATTATGAGGGTTATTTCAAAGCTAACTACTAAAAAAATATTTAAGAGAAATTAACACACTTTTTTTTACAAAAAACACTAATTTAACTAATTTGTTTAATTTCTGCAAATTAGTTATCTAGTTCTTATATAGGCAAATTATAAAGTTATCAAACAGTACAATAATATCATAGCATAGACTGGCCCAATACTTTGTCATGCTGAGTGACTTTGTAAATATTTGATCTTGAATCTCAGTCTTTGAGGTCTAGCATGGTGGAACAGTCACTTCAGCAACACCTCCAAGCATCAGAACAGCCTTTCTCATGGAGGGTCTAGGAGTTGGGTCCTCCTGGACACACCAAATGGCAATTATCACTAATTTTTCCAGGTTCTTTTTGTCATCCAATGCCTCTTGATTTTGTTCACCTAAAGCATACAGAGAACCTTGTGTGAAGCAATCATAAGCCCAATCTGCTAAGATTGCCTTCTTTGCATTTTCTGAATCCATTGCCACACTTCTTCTGCAATAGACAATCTCAAGCAGCAATACACGAAAGCTATAGACATCAACTTTTGCTGTGATGGGCATGACCTTGAACCATTCAAGTGCAACATATCCTTTTGCCCCTCAAGGCTGTATGGGTTTGGCTCTGATTCATGTTCAAGAGCTTGGCCAATTCAAAGTCAGAGATTCCAGGGTTAAAGGCGTCATCAAGGAGTATGTTTTGAGGCTTTAGGTCACAATGGATGATCCGGTCCTCACAATCCTCATGTAAATAATGAAGTCCCCCACATCCAATAATTAGTCTTAGGTTCCCACTCTGTTTTGAGTCATTGAAAAGAAGGCTCGCCAATGTGCCGTTGCTCATGTACTCATAGACCCATAACCTTTCTTCTCCTTCCTCACAGAAACCAAGCAAACGGATCAAATTCTTCTGATGCATCTGACCAAAGACAATTACTTCGTTCTGGAATTCCTTCTCATTTTCTTCTTGCAAAAGAAAGTTGTTCAACCTTTTGACTGCCACATGAATTGTAGAAGTAGAACCCATGTTTATGACTCCTTTATAAACTACACCAAAAGATCCTCTTCCTAAGTCTTCTGTGAACCCATTTGCATCCTGGTCAAGCTCCTGATAAGTAAAACAACGTAGAGTAGTTTCAGCATCACTATCTATTTGACTCACATTTTTAAACTTCTGGAATTGGTAAATGAAGGGAAAGCCTAGACAGCTTGATCCAATTAACATGACATAAAGAAACACTGAATAACCTAATAGCACAGAGAACACAAAATCCAAAAGTCCTTGATTATCTCTCTCGCTGATAGGAGGACTAGTTTGGGAGGAATTGCCTCTTCGCACCCTTAAAACGACCTTAGAACCATTTAGATTTGGGTCAAATTTCCCATTTTTAAGTGGCCACTTCTTCTTCCGACAAGCGTCACCTAATCTGAAAATGGAAACTGCACAAAAGCAATCTTCAAAACAAGCCTGTTTGCATGCTTCTTCAGTATAAGGCTTTTGAATATCATAATCATTGAGAGTCCAATCAACATTTGTTAACGTCACAACCCCATATTAGGGTGTTCATGCCCTGCCCACTACCCGACCCGAAGAAGGAGTGGGCTGCATTGCCATGCTTGGTATAAGCCCTAATCACTTTGGGCAAGGCAAGGGCGGGCTGGGCAGAACAGGTTTCCCTGCCCAAGTAGTAACATCCTAATCATATTATATGTTAAAAAAAACTCTAATTATATCTTCTAAATACCATTGTGAATTTCAAATGCATTTCATAATTTTGTACTTTAAAATATTTCAAAATAAGCCTATATTTTTTGTCTTAAAATATAAAACGTAATGTAAGCTAAAATCGGTATAGTTTAGAAGTACACCATGCTAGTGTGGCTTGGATGATCCACCTCTCAGGATCAAGCGCCGATGAGCACGCTAAACTATTCATGTGGCTGAGAGCCCTCACAGTATAGATACAACGATATAATTATCAGGGACGCACTCTATCATTGAGCTAATAGACTGTCGTGTAGGCCTCCCGCTAAGGGTCTGCTGTGCCAAAAGTGAGAGAAGCCCCATCTCTCTCTTTCCTTTTTTACGTCCCCATGTCGCTCTCGTATATTAAAGTTATCCATGTGTTTACGGTGAATCTACTTATATTGGCCAAATAAACTATAATATATAGATTACATTGCATTTGAAAATGTATACTTAAAAATTACTCTATATATATGAATATTAAATATGAAAATAAATTATCAAAATTGTGAATTAAAACTACCTCTGTCATTAACTCCTAAGGCTTTGGCAAGAAAAGAACAAAGATTCAGTTGTGAACATCCTTACCCACAGTTTGAGACTTGTAGCCCCAATGGCCTGGCCTTAAAGTTCAATCAATTTAGTTAAATTAATGAGTAATGGTCAAATAATATGCTCTCATAATTATTTTTTTTAAAAAAAAAGCTATTAATTCACTACAATGGTAGACAAATAAATGAACAAAAATTTGATATTATTAAAGAGTGCAATCAACAAAAAAGGACAATTTTTATGACCAAAATTAAAAAGGATAGTGGTTAAAAAATAATATTATAATATATATATGATTATATTTTTTTTGGGTAGGGCCAAATGAGCAATGCAGTATACCTTTCCCACTGACTAGCCCTGCCCGTGATAAGCCCAGGCCCAAAATGCTCATTTTTATTCATGCCTCTTTATTGGGTCAGGCAAAGCATTTTTTCTGCTGGCTTGGGCGGGTATAACTGGCATCTGAACCTCATGAACACCCTATTTCTTTTGACTAGTCTTGTCTTCTCTACAATTTATGAAATTTGGTTTACAGTTACCATATGCATCTTGAGGATCTACTAGAGAATAACCTTATGGGCATTTACAATTCTCATGGCATTATTGTCTCTTAGAACATGCAACTCTCCAGATTTGTTGAAGACTAGTTCAACACCAGGGCTACTTGTTTCAGACTCAACAGTATCGGTTTCGAAATAATTTTCATTAGGATACCTAGATGGTAAGTCTATGGAATGCATCACTAGATTACCATAATCTTGAGGAACAAGTTGGAATTTTCCCCTGGCGAAATCGATCTCTGATTTTCTAAAAGAAAGCACTCCTCCTCTTCCTAAAATCTGTGAGAGCAATATGGTGTCTGTAGGATCCTCGAAGGTATCCCAAACAGAGTTCAATCTTCTATCTTTACAAACAAAGTTGTCGAAGTCGTTCAAGGAGCCATAAAGAACAGTACCAGAAAGGTTAGTTGAAATCCATAGAAACTGGCCATCAGGAGAAGTAAGCTTAAGACCTTGTCCAGTGGTAAATTGAACTGTTGACCCTTTTGGAGCCATATTAGGGTTAATACAATTTTTAGTCTTTCAAGTTTTAAATTACAAATTTTGATCCCTCAATTTTTTTCATTTAAAATATCAGTTCTTATAATTTAATAAAAACTTAAATCATTTTTTTCTTTGAGGGACTAAAACCTATAGTTTGAAACTTGAATGATTAAAACCAAAATAAAAACAAATTTAAAAGATCAAAGATTATATTAACCTACCAAATTGTCTCCATTGGCATACCAAACAATGGTTGTGTTTGCGATCTTAGCATACCAGATGCAGAACAAGAAAGAATTATTATCTTTCTATGGTTGAAATCCAAAGGCAAAATATCCAGAACGTGAAAGCACCCATATGGATTTGTTGTTAGCTGCAATGAGTGAATCTGGTTTAGGCAAAAACACAAATAGGTGGCGGAATGCTATGTTTAAGTGAAGAATTGCAATATGGATATGAAAACGGTATTGATATAGAAAATTCCCCTACGGATATTTGATCTGATAGTACAAATCTCTGAGGAATTTGTGACAATGTACTGGAAATAACTGAAATGTCAGAGAATTGCAGAAAGGAAAGGAAGATTCCTCCAGGGAGAGAGAGTCTAACAACAAAATATTCCACACCCTCAACACTCTCTAGTCCCTAATTTATTCACGCGTCAGCCTCCAATTCGCGAAGCTTCCTAGTCTTCTTCTTAATTCTTTTGCTTCTACGGACCGAGTCATTTTAGGCCTGATCCTCGCTTATCGTTGGGCTCATTACATCACCCCCCCTCTTTGAAACAAACCTTGTCCTCAAGGTTCAGGGTTGGATATAGCTGTCGCAAGTCATGCTCTAACTCCCATGTATGATTCGGCAATCCATCCCATTGAATTAAAAATTGGCGAGCCCATTGGTCATTTTTAACGTTATTAAGTTATATCCGCTAATAGAAGGACTTTGACCAAATTTTACCAAATTTGACCAAAATTATAAGACGTAGAACATGGTTTTTCTATTTTAGATTTTTATTTATTTGTCAATTTAGATAATAATTATTTAAAGCAAGTTTTTATATTTTTTAATCTCAAATATGATTTTTTAAGAATAATCATTAAAACCTAAAAAACATAAATTTGTTTTTAATTTTTTTCCCCGTTCTTTTAGTCTCTTCCTGCTGCCAATTCCCTTCGTCCAAAGCCGAGACCCTTCCGTTGGCAACCAAGAAAGGTCCAAAACCCTTCCGTTGGCGGCGACCCCTTTCCCAATTGAAGAGTCGTTGTCTCCCCCATCTCCTCGTTCTTTCTCAGTCCCTCTTCTCTCGCAGGTTCTGTTGAGCTTGGAACAATGCTGCGCAGAAATATCCGCTTGAGGAGAGAGTATCTATATAGAAAGAGTTTGGAAGGAAAAGAGCGTTTGCTTTATGAGAAGAAGCGCAAGATAAGAGAAGCTCTTCAAGGTTAGTACTGCTTTTGACCTTTCTTCTTCGAAAATATGTTTGTGTTTGGTTGTTTCAAATTGTGAACCTTTGGATTTTGCTTTCCGTTTTGCAGAAGGGAAACCAATCCCCACTGAGCTTAGAAACGAGGAGGCGGCCCTTCGCCGAGAGATTGACCTCGAGGACGAAAATACAGCTGGTATGCTTCCTTCAATTCTATATTTATCCGCTCCACATCACAAATCTAAGCCCATATGTTTAGCTCTTTTCATTTGGTTAACTTCAGCTGATTTTTTTTTTTTCCGGAACTATGTTCTTCATTTCAATAATCTGAACTTTCATGTATACTACTCTGAATCCTTTCTTATGTTACGTAATGAAGTAATTACAACCGGTCTCGGTATAATGGGAACTAATGCAAAATGTTCCTATGAGGTAATCAAAATGGGTCTCAATGGGGAACTAACAGCAAAATGTTCATTTGGCTTCAACCCAATTATTGAAAGTTTGAATTGGTTAACGAGGACATTTAATTTGTCATAAGAATTATTTGCACAGCCTTTTAATGTCTAAAGGATGAGTTCTTGTTATAATGCTCTTTACTGCAGTTTGTTTTGTTGCCCTAAGTTGTATATTTTAATGTGGCGTTTGACATGACTTATAAATTGCTGATATTTTTCTTCTTTGTGGTCTATACTCTATAACTCAGTTCCAAGAACTCACATTGATGATGAGTACGCAAGGGCTACGGAAAAAGATCCAAAAATTTTGCTAACCACATCTAGGAATCCAAGTGCTCCTCTTACACAGTTTGTAAAGGTTGCATACTTTGTTTGTGGTCATTTTTTCTTAATTATTCATTGAAAATTAATTTTATTTCAATTTTTTGTGGTTTCAGACAATTTCTGAGCTTCACCGTCACCCTTTTTTCTTTTTTTTGTTGTTGTAGGAATTGAGTATTGTCTTCCCAAATGCACAAAGAATGAATCGAGGTGGTCAGGTTGGTAACATTCCCTTCTTAACCACTATTCTACACTCAAGTGAAGGATGAAGAGTCTTTTATTTGGGCTTTCTTTAGTTAATGCCCTTATGATTCCTATTTTAGATATGGTGGGTCATTTGTGAAAATTTTATTATACTAACATGGTCCTAACGCTTCTTGTCATTGAAGTTCCTTATGACATCAATTCATGGTTTACTGTTAGGCACTGTAGGTAATGCATGACCTTATTGCATATTAGCAATTAACATTGCTTTTTTGCCCTCATTCTGTTGTCTCTAATAATGTACTTAATATCCTTTATACGTACCTAATGCAATTCCTCAGTCAAAGCTCTGATTCTAATGGTCATTTCTTGATACTTTCCTTGCTAATAATAAGTCCTAATCTTGTCCCTTACGTAATTATGATTATGCAACTATACCCCCTCTGCCAAGAGAGTACTAAGACAAAAGGTTATAACTTCTAAAGTTCTAAGAATTGCAGAGGAACTTAGGTATTAAAATCTGAAAGCTGCTTCTCACTAGTACTGTTCAATGGCATTCAAAGTAATGGAAGCAGGTGAAATCACAAGCTGTAGCTTAACGTACAATACTTCTGAACTTGAACCAGAGTAATACTTCTGAAGTTTAGTCCCTTTGCTTTGTATCCATATTCAATTAGCAGAGGCCCACTACCAACCCATTTGCTTCCTTGCGTTGCAGCCAATGTAACTTGGGCCATGTACTTTACCAAGAGCACAATCTTTTCAGTTTCAGGATCAATGTTAAGGCCTTTTGATAATACATCTTTCCTTCTGACTGTAAACCTGTGGACCATCTGTCCCACGGCCTCCTCCACTTGTCCAGCTGCAATGAATTCAACTAATGAGGAGTGGGTCTTGTTAAATGCAGCCACAGATAATACCTCTTCTCTTCTTTTCAGGTTATCTCTGAGATTATAGAGACATGCCGTGCACATGACTTCACAGATGTTGTCTTGGTCCATGAACATCGTGGTGTGCCAGATGGTTTAATTATTAGCCACCTACCATTTGGTCCAACTGCATATTTTGGACTACTCAATGTGGTAAGTGTTTGGTCTTTTGATATTTGTTATTTACTTTAGGAAGAAATATAGTAATTAATTGTTTTCCTATAGGTCACAAGGCACGACATTAAAGATAAGAAAGCTGTTGGCACCATACCTGAGGCCTATCCACATTTGATTCTTGATAACTTCTCAACTAAGGTATAGCATTTTCCGTGTGATACTATATTTCACATATCAACCATTGTCTCTTAGAACATGCAACTCTCCAGATTTGTTGAAGACTAGTTCAACACCAGGGCTACTTGTTTCAGACTCAACAGTATCGGTTTCGAAATAATTTTCATTAGGATACCTAGATGGTAAGTCTATGGAATGCATCACTAGATTACCATAATCTTGAGGAACAAGTTGGAATTTTCCCCTGGCGAAATCGATCTCTGATTTTCTAAAAGAAAGCACTCCTCCTCTTCCTAAAATCTGTGAGAGCAATATGGTGTCTGTAGGATCCTCGAAGGTATCCCAAACAGAGTTCAATCTTCTATCTTTACAAACAAAGTTGTCGAAGTCGTTCAAGGAGCCATAAAGAACAGTACCAGAAAGGTTAGTTGAAATCCATAGAAACTGGCCATCAGGAGAAGTAAGCTTAAGACCTTGTCCAGTGGTAAATTGAACTGTTGACCCTTTTGGAGCCATATTAGGGTTAATACAATTTTTAGTCTTTCAAGTTTTAAATTACAAATTTTGATCCCTCAATTTTTTTTCATTTAAAATATCAGTTCTTATAATTTAATAAAAACTTAAATCATTTTTTTCTTTGAGGGACTAAAACCTATAGTTTGAAACTTGAATGATTAAAACCAAAATAAAAACAAATTTAAAAGATCAAAGATTATATTAACCTACCAAATTGTCTCCATTGGCATACCAAACAATGGTTGTGTTTGCGATCTTAGCATACCAGATGCAGAACAAGAAAGAATTATTATCTTTCTATGGTTGAAATCCAAAGGCAAAATATCCAGAACGTGAAAGCACCCATATGGATTTGTTGTTAGCTGCAATGAGTGAATCTGGTTTAGGCAAAAACACAAATAGGTGGCGGAATGCTATGTTTAAGTGAAGAATTGCAATATGGATATGAAAACGGTATTGATATAGAAAATTCCCCTACGGATATTTGATCTGATAGTACAAATCTCTGAGGAATTTGTGACAATGTACTGGAAATAACTGAAATGTCAGAGAATTGCAGAAAGGAAAGGAAGATTCCTCCAGGGAGAGAGAGTCTAACAACAAAATATTCCACACCCTCAACACTCTCTAGTCCCTAATTTATTCACGCGTCAGCCTCCAATTCGCGAAGCTTCCTAGTCTTCTTCTTAATTCTTTTGCTTCTACGGACCGAGTCATTTTAGGCCTGATCCTCGCTTATCGTTGGGCTCATTACATCACCCCCCCTCTTTGAAACAAACCTTGTCCTCAAGGTTCAGGGTTGGATATAGCTGTCGCAAGTCATGCTCTAACTCCCATGTATGATCCGGCAATCCATCCCATTGAATTAAAAATTGGCGAGCCCATTGGTCATTCTGTTGTACCCATCGAGCCTTCAGGATCTGAATTGGCCGAACAATGGGTCCTTCTGGGACGGAAGCGAGGGGAAGTGGCAAATGGGCAGTGGCATCATCTCCAAAAAATTTCTTCAGCATGGAAACATGAAAAACAGGATGGATTTTCGTATGATCCGGTAATTGCACCTTATATGCAACCGTCCCTATTCGCTCCACAACAAGAAAAGGCCCGAAATAGTGCATGGCCAACTTTTGAAATTTTCTAAGCTGCACAGAATGTTGTCTGTAAGGCTGCAGCTTGACGAGCACCAAGTCTCCTACCTGAAACTCCACTTCCGTTCTCTTCTTATCTACATAGTGTTTCATTCGTTGCTGAACCTTCCTGATGTTTGCTTTCAGAATTTCCAATACTTCATCCCTTTGCTCTAGCTGCTGGTGAATGTCTACGGGAGTATCTTCTAAGGAGCTGTGGCGCAACAGAGGGGGTGGATCTCTTCCATAAACAACCTTGAAAGGCACCATACCGATTGAAGAATGGAAAGAAGTGTTGTACCAAAACTCTGTCCACGGAAAATAACTGAGCCATCGCAAGGATAATTTGATACAAAACATCTCAAATACATTTCAATGCATTTGTTGAGCACCTCTGATTGACCATTGGACTGAGGGTGATACGCCGAGCTAAAACACAGCTGAACTCCTTGTAATTTCATCAGATGTCTCCAAAAAGCACTTGTGAAAGTTCTATCTCTATCAGATACAATGGTACGGGGCAAACCATGTAACTTAATGATGTTTTGCAAGAAAACTTCAGCAACTATCTGACTAGAGAAATGACTGGGTAGAGGAACAAAATGACCATATTTTGATAGACGATCAACTACTACCATGATCACCGAATAACCTTTCACAATGCGTAGACCAACAATAAAATCCATAGCAATGTCCTCCCATATTCTTTCAGGAACAGATAAAGGTTGAAACAAACCAGAGGGGTGTAGGTGTGACAGCTTGGCACGCTAACATACGGTACAGTTCCGTATATAATCTCTAATATCTTTCCTCATTCTTTGCCAGAAATATAGCCTGGCTATACGATGGAAGGTGCGGAGAAACCCGGCATGACCCCCAATGACTGATGAATGGAACTCATCCAAAATCTTCTTGACCAGTTTGGTGTCATCATGTGGAATCACCAACTGTTGCTTCCAGTATAAGTGTTGGTCCCGAATATAGAAATGCTTCATTGAACTCGGATCATCCCTCACTTTGTCTTTCATTTGGGAAATCCACGGTGATTCTTGAACTCGAGCATAAACTTGATCCATGAACGTGTTCTCCACACTGGTGAGTGCCATACATGTGGTTCTTGACAGAGCATTTGCCACTTGATTGGTTTTTCCAGGCTTGTATTCAATATCGAACCTATAACCCAATAATTTGGGTAAGCAGGCCACTTGTTCTGGCATTTGGATTGCCTGACTATTGAGGTGTTTCAAGCTGTCATGGTCGGTCCTGATGACAAAATGATGACCCAATAAGTAATGGTGAAAACGCGAAACTGCTTCGGTGATCGCATAAAGTTCTCGCACATATACAGATTGGGCTTGCATGCATGGTGATAGTTTTTTTGAGAAAAAAGCGATAGGATGATCATCTTGGCTTAGTATCGCCCCAATCCCCGTGCCTAATGCGTCGGTTTCCAACACAAAGGATTTTTGAAAATTTGGTAGAGCTAAAACAGGGGCTCGGGTGATCTCTTGCTTCAATGTTTCAAAAGCTACTTGTGCCGGGGGGCCCCACACAAAAGAGTCCTTCCTTAACAAATCTGTTAATGGTCGCGCTATCGTAGCATATTTATGGATGAATTTCCGGTAATATCCACTTAGACCCAAAAATCCTTTCAACTATGTGACATTCGCAGGCACCGGCCATTCGTGTATCGCTTTGATCTTCATCGGATCCATCTCCACCCCTTTTGCCGACACTATATGCCCCAAATACTCTATTCGGGTTTGACCAAAGGCACATTTAGACATTTTTGCATACAACCGGTGCTCTGTCAACACTTTCATCACCAGCTCTAAGTGCTGTAAATGGGATTCCCATGTTGCGCTATATATGAGTATATCATCGAAGAAGATGAGAACAAACTTCCTTAGAAAAGGTTGAAATACCACATTCATCAAAGCCTAAAAAGTAGCCGGCACATTGGACAATCTAAAGGGCATCACAAGCCACTCGTATGATCCGTGGTGAGTTCTAAATTCTGTCTTTTCCCTATCACTTTCCCTCATAAGAATTTGATGGTACCCCGATCGGAGGTCCAACTTAGAGTAATATGTCGACCCGTGTAATTCATCAAGTAATTCATCAATGGTCGGTATTGGAAAGGCGTCCTTTACGGTAACCGCATTCAGAGCCCTATAATCAATGCAAAATCGCCAAGTCCCATTTTTTTTTTTACCAGTATTACAGGGGCAGAGAAGGGGCTCGTGCTTAGTTGAATTAATCCTTCGTGCAACAACTCGTTTACCATTTTTTCAATCTCGGCTTTCTGACTCACTGGATACTGGTATGCACACACCTTCACGAGACCCGTGCCGGGCTTCAACTCGATCCGATGTTCGTGCCCCCTGCTCAGTGGCAACCCGTGTGGTTGTTCGAAAACTTCCCCATACCATTGAATAATTCGAGCGATATCGGGTGCCACTTCCCCATTGGATTGTGGTGTCATTTCTTCAGCATTGCTCGAGTTCATGATGTATATCTCGGCCACAGCCTCTGTCCTGCATAGACGAACTAAGTGATGAAGCTGTGCTTGAACCATAGTCGATCCTTTGTATCCGCGTAGCGTCACAAACTACCCATCTTGCAGGAACCTTATAGTAGAGGTACTATAGTCTGCCACGTGAGCCCCTAGCGTCTCTAACCAGTCCGCTCCCATTACCAGATCAACCCCTGCTATTGGCAACACAAATAGAGACATCATAATGGTGTACCCACTTATCTGTATGGGAATATTAGTGACCTTTTCATTGCTCCTTAATATTTGTCCAGTGCCCCCTAACACCCGTAGCTCGACAATACGCTCAACGGGCAGCCTTAAGTGTTCTACTATCCGAGGGTGTATGAAATTATCGAAACTCCCGCCATCTAATAATATTTGAACCTCAGTCCCATTGATGCGGCCATTGAAATGTATTGTAGCTAGACCTTGCGTTCCTCTTAGCGCATGCAACGAAAGGTGGTGTAATGTAGCTTCCACCGTAGCATCCTCCGAATTCTATTCTCCTTCTTTGTCCTCACCCTCGTCGTCGCATATCAACATCATCATCTGTCTATTCGGGCATCTGTGGTTGGGCGAGAATTTTGCATCACAAGTGTAGCACAATCCTTTCTCCCGCCGCACTTGTACTTCGGCAGGGGTCAACTTCTTAATCTGTGGAGTGTTCAGAGTCGACAACAGGGGAGGTAGTGTTGTCTTCCCTCCACTCGGGACTGTTGCTCCCATAGTATGGCTTGTTCGTAGAGCAGAGGTCGGGTTCACCATCTTCTGATTAAGCCCTTTGTCACCACTCCTTTCATTGGTGTTCGAAAACCCGTATGCTGAGTTTTCATAAAATAGTCGAGCTAGTGACATGGCTGTTCTGACAGACGTGGGTCGCTGCACCAGCACATCTTGTCTCAGCTCCATCTTCAGACCTTTGATGTAACAATCCAACAATGCAGCGTTAGGGACGTCTTCGGTCCGGTTGGATAGCGTCAAGAACTTGTTATTATACTCGTCTAGATTACTGTGCATGGTCAGCTTGAAAAGTTGTGCTCAGGCACAATCAAACTTGGATGGTCCATACTGATCTTCTACAGCTTGCACCATGGAGTCCCAGTCGATTATCTGACGTGTTTTTTCGAGAACTTGGAACCATAGTAGCACATTCCCATCTAAGTGTACAGAGGCTATCACCACGCACTGGGGGTCTTTGATCTCATAATACTTAAAATACCACTCTGCTTTGAAGATCCAGTCTAGAGCGTCTGTCCCGTCGAACCTGGGAAAATCTAGTTGCACCTGCTTCCCCGTAGTCGATGAGGATATCGTGGTTTGAACCACGTGTTCTTTCG